CTCGGGCCCTTCCAGGGACCTTGAGGATGCTGAGGTTTCCCTCCCCTTTGCCACGTTCTGGTCTGACTCCTGCCTAGAAGAGCCTTCCTATCTAAAAAGATTCTGTTGTGTCTCCCTTAGGAGGGAAGGAGCTTTGGGGGTGCAGGAAAGGCTGGAGCAGGAATGTTGGGGCCAAGTGTCATTTTGAAGTTGGGGGGCACAGGGCCTCCAATTCAGACAGGAAGCTGCTCCTGGAGAAGAATCGGTGGGTGCCTGGGGGAATATTGCAGGCAAGGAGGGCAGCCCTCGGATGCTCAGAGCTGGGAGGGCACGAGGAGATGGTCAAATCTGCGCCCCCACCCCAAAACAAGTGGCAAAACAGGGCTGAGGCAGCGATCCCCTGCAGGAGCTGGTGCCCACCCCGAGGGGAGGGTGTGGGGAGGATGGCCTTGTCTCTTTATGCTGCCCTGGGGACCCCGAACACTGACAGCCCAGGGGGCTATGTTCCTGCAGGAATGGGGCCGCCTCAAGCCTGTCAGAGCCCTTACATATGCTAAGATCCAGAGTCAGCCAAGCCAGGCACTGGGGGGTCTTGGGCCACTGTGATCACCCATAAATGGGCAGGGTCCTCCTACCCCGGGACACCCCTACTCACCCCTGGGCTACGCCAAGCCCTTGCCTGTCTTGGCCCAATGATAGCTTGTTCTGGTCCCCACGTATGGCTCCTGAGGTCACGCTGCACTTGTGTCCATGCTGTGCTAAGGACACCCTGGGGCGATGGGCCCGGGTCTTTGGCTGAGCCGTGCCGGTCTGTCCCTGCCAACCATCCGCTGCCCTCCTGGGAGCCAGGTGTGGCTGGAAGAGTGAGCTTCTTAGGAGAGGGGACTCTGAGCTGGAAAGGGGGCTGAGAAGACGTGGGCAAGGACGGGGGTGGGAGGGACTCCACCGTGGGCTGCCACCCCTGCTAGCCCTGAGTGATGCTGTCCCTTCTGGGAGCAACAGAGGCTGCTTGTGCCCCGCTGGGAGGCAGGGCATCATCTCCATCCTGGCACCTGGGTGCTCTGGGATGTGGTGGAGGAAGTGGAGACACTTCTGCCTTTATCTGGTGTGGTCTGGAGTGGGGGGCTTCCTCTGTCAGGCGTGGGAAGACTGAACCGGAAGAGTCTAGAAAGCCCGTCAGGGAAGCACCCAGTTCTTCAGGGCTTCAGATGGAAGCTTGTTACCGAGAAGGACTGCGTGAGGCGGAGGTGTGGAGTCTTGCCCTGCGAGGCCTGGGAGGCGCTCAGGGCTCCTTCTCTATGCCCCCTGCTGCCAGCCCCAGCTGCTGCTGGTCCCCAAGCCACCTCTAAGTTTTTCCTTATACTCAGCGCCCACCTCCGCCGCCTCTCCCGACCACCGCATCCAAGCAGAACCACAGAGTGGTGGCAGGGATCACTTCAGATGCCCCCCAGGTCTCCAGCCCAGGGCCGGCAGACAGCTGTCCAGGAAGAAAGGCTTACTTTTGGGGGTCTGGCTTCCTCCCTGGCAGGCCCCTCTGTTCCCACGCTCCCCCCTCATCCAGTATGGCCACCTGGCCGGGTGCTGAGCAGCAGAGGGTGGACTGAATCTTCAGGCTGTGGAAGCCAGTCAGCCTTTTATCCACAGGCTTCAGAGACTGAAAACTGAAGGTTTTCCAAACAGCAGCCCCGGACTCACCCCCTCCTTACATGGAAGAGCAATCACAGAAACTGGGGAAAGGAAAACGAACCTTCCAAGGAGAAATTTCATTCTAATGATACCATTCATCATTAGTTTTTTAATTAGGAAAAGCTCCCGGATGAGGCACTTTTGCCAGCTCATAGGGTTCTCAACTTCCACGAGAACAATTCTTGCCCAGAGGATTAGGGGAGTCGGTGCTCACCAAGCCCGGATCTCCCTGCAGTGTCCAGTTTCGTTGGAAAATAATGCCGATTCCCGGGTGCAGTGGAAAACCCTTTCCTGGCATCATTCATGGTCCCAGTGCTGGCCAGAAAGCTCCAAAACTCCTCTGCCTTAAAAAACTGCCCAACCCAACTGTCTTCCCCCCCAGGACTGGAGTAGGTGGAAACAAAACTAATCCCAAGCTGCAGTGTTTGTTTCTAAATATTTTTGTATCGTGTACATTCTGTATATTTTTGTTGTAACATATTATTTGAGCACAGATTCCATTAAAGATTTTTTTTTTCTTTAAGTCATTGGTTATACAGTTATTCTCACCAGTTTCACCAGTTACTCAGGAAGGGCTGGCATTGGAGCCTGTTTCATCTCGGTCTGGGTTAGGGTTGGGGAGGGAGGGAGAGTGGACTGCGGCGGGGGTGGGTCTGTGATGTCTGCCCTACAGATGGGGTGTCCGTGCTTGGCACTGGTCTTCCCAGCTTGGTAGTTCTTAACCATTCTTGAATACAGTTCTTTTGAGTGGTTGATGAAAGCTATGATTTTTCTTCCCATAAAAATGCACAGACAGACAATTCTATGTATGATTTAGAGGGAAAGTGCTGTGAATAAGGAAACTCATCTAGGGTTTCAGGTCATGAACCTCTGTGCCAGCCGTCCTGGTGGGTGCCTGGCCTTCCCCTTCCACTCTTACACTGTACCCCAATGAGAGCTTAATATTCTATTATTATTGGATGAGTCTCCTTCAAAATATCCTAGATACTTCCTTCATTACCCCAATAGCCCAGTCTTTAGGTCTTTTTTTTTCTTTTTTGTCATGCAGGACCTTAGTTCCCTGACTAGGGATTGAACCCATGCCCTCTGCATTGGAAGCATGGAGTCTTAACCGCTGGACCACCAGGCAAGTCCCTAGGGCTTTCTAGCAGGCTGTCAGCACCCTGATCCTAAAAAAGGAATAGGAATGTCCTCAGGGTCAAAGAGCACAGACAGCTCACATACAGAAGGGGGAAACAAGAGGAGCACAAATGGTAGTCTGGTGCTTGGTACGTTTAACAATCAAGTGGGCTTTGAGTGGGTGAAGGCTGAGAAGGTGAATCGTTCTCAGCAGTTTCTCTAAGCTAATGGCAGTGTATGTAGTTTCACCATTCACAGCTTTTGGTGGATTAAACTACCCTGTTAAAATTCATGGCGGGAGTTGTTTCCTGTCATGTTTTCACATCAGTTTCTTGTGTATCATTTACAAATATTTCTAAATGCTTTCTGGAATAGCAGAAGTCATCCCAGAACAAATTTTAGAGCATGGTTCAGGCTCAAGATCTAGGACCTGTTTGGAGCGTGGGGAACAGAGTCCAGAAAGTCGCACACTGTCAGCAGCCGTGGTCCCGGGACTCAGTTCCCAAAGGTAAGCTCCCTGGCAGCCAGCAGTCGTTAAGCCAGCTTTGCCTCCGGCCTTCTACCACTCTGCTCTTCACTCTTGCTTCCTCCCTTCCACCAGCTTCTCATTCTTCCTGTAACTTAAAAATTACCGATAATGAGGCTAATTATACAGACCACTTAGTGGGTACCTACTATATGCCAGGGTACTGGGCGAGGCACTTTCAGTCTTATTTAATTGCACAGCTACTTGAAGTGGATATAAGTACACACATATCTACACATGAAGGGAAGGCTTAGAGAAGTTCAGTAACTTGCCAGAAGGATCACAGCCAAGACGGCCTGGTTCCAAAGCTCATGTGCTCAGCTCTCGGGTGTTTGTATAGAACTTTAAGGACACTTAAGTTTGTAGAAGCGTCAGGGCGTTTGTTTAAAGATACAGTCTTAAAAAAAATAAAATAAAGATCCAGTCTAGTTGCCCCGGGCCTGGGGCCATCTGGTTAGTCATGAACCTTGGTGTATTTGCTTGGTGTTCACTTAACAGGACCTCTACTTTGTCAGCCCTCCCAGAGGTAGTTCACAAGAAAACTCACAGCTGTCAATTAATTACTGCTCCCTATCACTGCCCCAGCACCCCTGCCTTCCGAAACGTAGCATTCGCACTAACTTAGAGGGATATGAAGTCGGTGAGGCACATTTAAGAAGTTTAGCGGGTATAGGACTGGAGCTGCCCTCTTAGGCCTCCGAGTGGAAAGACTTCGTTGAAGCCAGTGGGGTCTCCATGACAGAGAAGACACATGGTTAGGAGGAAGGTAGTCCTGGTAACTGAATCTTATTTCTGAGACGCCTGCAGGCTTTCCTGGCATTTGGTGTAAGTAATCCTCTGGGAAAGGACAGGCATTCTGTCATGGTCAATAATAAGAGTGAAAAGAATTGACTTGGGCCATTGAATTAGACAGGTGTAAGCGTACTGGATGATGAATAAAACACTGTGATGGAAATTGCTCATATACTCTGCCTAATGCCTCCTGCAGGTTGCACAAAGATGTCTCCTAGCAGGCGATTTGATTTTTTTCAACAAATTCCTTAGCCTAACAAGTATAATTTCCCCCAAAACTTGTTGTAAATTAATAAAAATGTCAGGCTGGAGAATTGAGCTCACTGAATAAAAATGACTGTGTTGCTGAGAAGCTAAGTTTTATTATTATTATTATTATAAATATAATTATAGGTAAATTGAGACCATTTTTGATCCATGGCAAACATACACTTCCTGTGTGTACAGCACACAGATAACACACAATGTATTCCACACGTGAACAAATGCTCTTTAAAACTTTGAAAGTTAATATATTAGCTTATTAAAATTTGAGTATAATACATGTTTTTGGTCACGAGCTCTGAGTTTCTTCTCATGGCCCACAAGACAGTCAGCTCCATGTCACTATTTTCCTTTTCTACAGCAGCGATATACAGTTTATCACACAGTTTTAAAATGACTGTATTGTATATAACTGTGTGATGTCATGAGCCTACAGTACCAAAAATATATATAAAGGTACATATAAAGAATATGTAATTATGCCTTGACTCTATCCATAAATGACTTGAAGCAGGTAATATATTTGCTTTTTTTTTTTTTTTAATATATTTGCTTTTAAATGCTATTTACAACATGGACTCTTGAATGATATGTGAATTTGAAAATGAAAAACATATTTTCCAGACTCAAAATGTTGATGTCCTAATGTTATTTATTTAAAAAACTGATTTCCAAGCGGGCAACCCTACCTTAGAAAAAGTCAGATTCAAGGGTTGTGCCGTAAAATAGTTTGTCTCCCATAGTCATTCTGAATGCTATAAAAAAGATGGTACTTGGATTTTTTTCTACACTGACTACAATCCAAGTTATTAAAGTTTAAAACTATATGAAAGCCTTTATGAGGATCCTGAATTATATTTCTCATTAAAGAAAAGAAATGGCTCAGTGAGTCATGTCTCTAGATTTCTGTAGAAGAGAAAGCAGAAGGCCGTTGTCAGTCATCTTGAAAGTTAAAACTCAGCACTTAATGTGAATTTAGATGAGTTTAGGAGAGGAGTTTTACGGGCTTCTGTTCCTCTGAGCATCCTGAGGGCAGTGAGAACAGAAGACTCTGATCTTCCAAACAAAAATCATTATCAAATGGATTTATTAAAGAGCTATGCAGAACAAACTGGAGTCATGTGTGTGTAGCTACAGTTGGCTTCCATGGGAATTACAAATGGCTCTAACACAGGGCACTTTCAGTTGATTCAGAGTAAAACAATATAAAGCTTGTAACATGTACAGAAAACTAAAATCAATGTGAAGAATCTCTGTGTGAGTTCTTTATTTTACGTTTGCTTGTAAAATTGATGTACTTTGTTTCTTTTTTAACACTCTTTAAAAACTCCAGCATTTTCATATAAAAGAAAAAGAGAAATTATAGGCTCTTGGCAAATACCTGTGAACAAAAGTATGAAGAAAAGTGATGGGGCCACTTCTGCAGTAGCTTTCCATCAGAGATAATGTCTTATCTTGAAGCTAGTGCACCTATTTTTAAAGTTCATTTAATTTCTTACACACTCATGATTTATTTGCATATTGACATAAAAGCTGCCTTCATCATCCATGCCATTATCAATCGGACAAAAAAAATCCATCAAGCACCCACAGGATGCAGAGATCTGTCTTTGAAATGGTGGCATGGTGTTAATCTGTCCTAAAACTAGGAATAAGTTTTTTGAAAGAAGCTATAGTACATTGAGGGATTTCCTGTGGCTCAGTGGTAAAGAATCTGCCTGCCAATGCAGGAGATGAGGGTTTGATCCCTGGGTCGAGAAGATCCCCTGGAGAAGGAAATGGCAAGCCACTTCAGTATCCTTGCCTGGGAAATCCCATGGACAGAGGAGCTGGGGGGTTGCAGTCCATGGGGTCACCGAAAGAGTCAGACATGAGTTAGCGACTAAACCACAGCAACAGTACCTTGAGAAAGAAGTATTACGATTTTTCTGGGAGGGAAAGTTGCTAAATACTGCAGCAAACGCCTCAGAGAAGCCGCAAAATCACCTCTGAAGGTTTTGAGCAACAATTCCCTGAAGCTAGAACTTACGGGACCAGCAATGTAAAAATTTCACAATTCTAACATACATCTATCTATGACTGTGAAGATGTGCCTCAGATTTATACATCTAATTAGGCTTAATCTTGAAAATACAAAATGAAAAAAATCTAGAATGTGTTTTCAAATAATCTGAAATAGCAATCCTATGACAGTTATAAAAACTACCACAGTTTTAAACACCACGGCTTGCATGACTTCACAACACAATCATCTCCAAATACGTCATCAAAAACTCTGGGCAGGAGCTTCTTTCATAAATTCCTCGAGGACAGCTACCACATTTTTGGCTTCCGGCATTTCTTCGTGTTCCACTTTAACAATCTTCAAAAGGATATCTCCACTACCACAGTTCTTTAGGAACATGTAACATTTAAACAAAGCATAATGATTCATTTCTGCCTGCCGGATAAATCTCTTCAAATTATTTGTGTCTTGTATGGCCTAGAAAAAGATTACCCAGTTAAGTATGTGTTCAGTGAGATAATAATGAAGCTTGCAAAAGATCTATCCAGCTGAGAACTCAACTATATGTTAATGAAATGTTTGCCTTTTATTTCAAATATCTTAATTGCTAATATGCTTTGCCCTTGATAGAACAAAATCTTTTACATAAAGTAAAAATACAAATCTCCTAAATAAGGTGACAACATGCCTCCCCAACAAAATTCTGAACCTTTAGGCGTGGAACTATGTTTTTTGTGCTTCCCAACTAAGATATGCCATAAATTATAAGGCTGAAGTCCCTAAAATATAAGCAAGCATTCAATTCAATTTATTGGAAATACATACAGAGGCCACTGAAAAATATCAATGAATGCCTTCTGAAGATTCTAGGTCTTGTTTGTTTTTCAAAAATTAGAACATTATTTTAATTATTATGAATAAGGCTTACAGTGCAAAAACACAGAATAATGCACATTTATGGTTAAGACTTGGACTTTACTTGACAATTCATCCAAAAATATAAAGATACTGTTTATATATAAAGAATGACAAGTGATACCTTTCATTAGTATTGCCTTTACTATAGTGGATACATTTGCTCCATCAAAATGTCTTTCTGTTTATTTGCTAATAGTAAACGAACATGAAAAAATGTTCAGCCTGAATAATAATTAAAGACAGATTTGAATAGCTATGGAGTGCCAATATTAAAGTAATAAAAATAAATAAGACTGATAAAAAACTGTTATATTAGGTTCTGCATAGAAAACCCATACACATTGCTGAACATTCCGTAATTTGTTCCCATTTTTTTTTTGAAGTGCAAGCTGGCAATCTGTAATAGAAACCAAAGCATTCAAACCCTTTGACTTGGTAATCCCACTTTTGGGAATATACATTAAGGTAATAATCCAAATGAAAAAAAATATCATCCAGCAATGCTCCTTCTGGGCATCTCTCTGAAGAAAACCAAAGCACCTACGCAGAAGGATATCTGCAGTGCCATGTTCCCTGAAGCATCACCAACAACAGCCAAGACATGGAAGAAACCCAAGTGTGCGCTGATGGGTGAGTGGACAGAGAAACTGCGGTAAATATACACAGCGGGATACCAGTCAGTCAATGAAAAGAATGAACTCTTCAACAAGGGCTTCATGCCAAGTGAAACGGATTCAACAGAGAAAGACAAATACCACATGATCTCTTCTACATGTGGAATCCAAATATATATATATATTTATGTGTATATTAAAAAGAAACTCATGGACTCAGAGTACAGATGTACTCTGCCACCAGCGGTAGCAGATAGGGAGTGGGAGAAATGAGTGGACTGTTTTGGTTTTGGTTGAAATAAACTGAAATTTTTATATACAAATAAAAATAGTGATACACCATTGTCACCTGTCAGACTAGCAAAGATGAAAAGTTTAGATACCCAGTGGTGTCTGGGTTTGGGGAGGCTGGCACTTTCAATGCTGTTGGTATAAATGGAAATTGAGGATTATAGTTTTGAAAGTGTCCTAGTTAACAGACATAGCTGTGAAGCAGATTTGTTTTCCTGGTCACTAGTACTAACTAAACTTTAAGACAAAGACTATATATGGCACTTGGCACACAGCCAATTAGTTACCTTTAGTTTAAAGTTCTCCAGGACTTGTCGAAAAAGAAAAGGGTTACCTCCTTCGGCACCATTCATAAAAGCCTGCATCCAATCCTCACAAAACCGGTTGCTCCCTATAAAACAGTTTAGAAAAATGAATAAAAGTAAAATCAAAAGACATTTATTCTGCCTTTCTTTGTATTTTCTTTTTTAAATTGAGGTATAATTGAACCATATAACATTAGTTTCAAGCGCACAGCACAAGGATTCAATATTTGTATACATCACAATGTTCTGTCCTCATTTATAAAATGATTACAATGAATTATTTAAGACTTCTGTATTGGTGTAAAAAAACCTTAACTCACCACCTGGCTAAGAAATACCAAAATGGTCGAGGCTTCCACGTGCATCTTCCCAGCTGCATCCCCCTATTTTCCCATCAGAAAGGATTATCACACCCATGTCTTTCTTTAAACCTTTGCCACATACTTTATCTCTAAGCCCTATAGAGTATAAAAAATTTGCATATGTTAAAACTGTACTTTTCTTTAATGGCTCTTTCACTATATAGTATGTTTGGATGCTATACGGAGAGATATAGCTCTAGTTCACTCATTGTCACGGCTGTATAGTATTCCATTGTATGACAGCTTATCAGTTCTCCTGTTGACATACACTTGAGTTGCTTTCAATTCTTTACTACTGCAAACAGTACCCTTATGGGCATCTTGTATTCGTCTCCTTGTGTACATACCTAAGAGTTTCTCTATATACCTAGGAGCAGAATTGCTAGGCATGTCATGATTTCCATGTTTCTAGAAATGCTATTGTTTTTGGTGATTTGGGGACAAACATGTAAAACTGCGCAAGGCAGGGAGGATAACTTTGCGTCGTTTGTTCTCAGGCTGTTGCCAGGGTTGTGGCTCACCTGCATTGTGGAACTGAGGCTGGGAGCTGCTGCAGTCGATGATCACAGACTTATGCTGCTCCTCCGTCATGGCCATGCACAAGGATGTCATGGTGCCTTCGTGAATAAGGCCTTGGAGACTAGCCACGCTCAGAAACCTGCCACACACACAATCTTTTTCCACAAACTATATTACAGGATGGGAGGGAGAAAGCAAATTCATTCTGCATTGCGTGGTAGGGGAGTTAAAAACAGAAATATCAGACTGGCTGTGGAAAAGGTTCTCTCTTTGCAAAACTGTTCTTTACCTGTGAATGTCTCTCTTTGTTTTTTCATCTGATCCTTTAACCTCAACAGGAGTATAACTCAAAGCCTATGAGAGAAAAACAACACCCAGTTGATACACGTATGCCAATTTTCCTTGCAGAGTAGCTAGTGACTAAACGTCGCCTCCCCCAATAAGCACCGCACCAGACCATGTTTGCTGGGCACCGCCCCGGAGCTCTCCAGAGCTGTGTTCAGCTTCACTGACGGTCGGGAACCAAGCCTTACCACCTGGGCTTGAGAGGCTGTCCAGCCTCAGCAGCATCCACCCACACATGAAAAATGAAAAACCTAGCCACTTAGATATTTTAGTGAGTATTTTATTTGGACATTTTAAAATAGTTAAAAATTACTTTGGATTTCCGTTTTCCTTCTCAAATTGTTTTAGAAATCACATCTCTCCCATATCATTTCAGAAAGTAATTATTTTAGATAGTTCCCTGGTAGTCTAGTGGTTAGGATTCAACACTTTGACTGCTATGGCCCGAGTTCAATCCCTGGTTAGAGAACTGAGTTTCTATAAGCCGTATGGCACAGCCAAAAAGAAAAAGAGAAAGTGATTAAAATGTTTTATTGTATTAGAAGATAGTATTCGCAACTCTACCTTCGTAGTGTAACTTTCTGGATCTGTGTAAACAGAGTGCAGTGTATCCTTATTGCAAGCATAATCTCAATGAATATTCAGAGGGCAGGTGGAAGTAATAAATAATATTCAGAGAAAATAAGTATGTCTTTAAGTAAACCAAACTCTGCCAAAGTGATCCTCAATGAAGGAAATACTTTCGTTTGGGCAATACTTACAGCATGTAGCAGAAAGGTGAGCTTCTCCTGAAAGAGATGGACCACCCTTTGGATTGGGCAAACAACATCTGCAAACCAGCTGCTCAGGTAAGACTGGATGTGGTTCTCCCCACCGCTTTCCTAGATTAAGAGAGAATGTCATTTGCTTTGATCTAAGCCCTCACCTTAATTAATGGACTTAACATTTTCTTCATGATACTCTTGACAGTGAAAAGAAATGGGGACTGACACCTCCTTCTTTTTTAAGCTAATGCCACCAATTAAAACAAAAGGAACTGTAGGAATTTCCTGGCAGTTCAGTGGTTAGGACTCTGCCCTTCACTGCCAGGCGCCTGGGTTAAATCCCTGGTTGGGGAACTAAGATCCCACAGGCAGAGAAGTACAGCAAAAAAACAAAAAAAGGAATTGTGATATAACTTTGCTGGGCTTGTTAGGCAGAGAGGGGATTAATTCAGTACTGCATTAAAAAAAAACACACTAAGACATGCATTGTATAAAATGAAGAGACTGACTTAATAGGGTTCCATGCTATTTCTTCACTGAAAGGAGTTAGGGCATTTACATGTCCATCTCCTCCCACTGCGCAGTGAACTCCAGGAAATACTCTCTTAATAATCCTTCTCTCCAAAAATTAATGAATAAAACTTCTTTCATTTAAGGGGAGGGAAAAAAAATCCTCACCCCCCACTCCCAAGCATCTGGTACTGTTTCTGAAACACCCATGGATGAGCTTATAAAGTGCCTGTTGAACCACTGAGGAACGCAGACAGCTCACCAACACCTGAAAGTGAACAGGGGAGGACACAGGCCAGCCCATCAAAGTGCTCAAGCCCGCCCCGCTGTGGTCAGGCACACTGCCGGGAGCTCACCCAGCTTCCCTGGCTCTGCTGCTCCCTAGGGGCTGGTGGGAGCACCCCATCCCAGGAGCGCAGCTATCCTAGACGCGCTCGTATCCCCGGCTCACTCAGAGGCTATCATTCTACTCTGTGCTGCACTGTAAGCACATGCACGACAAGCGAAAAGAATTATTACCACCTGTAATGGGTAGAAAATTTATGAGTTATGACTTAACTCCCACAAACCAAATGCATAGTATTTAAAAGGTATGGATAAACGAATCGATATGGATGTATCTAATTCACAAAAGATCGATTAATGAAAAACGGGATGTTTCTAAATATCTTTGAGGTTGAGTTCAAGGACAGTCATCCCGTTGCACAGCATGTCTCTGGTGCCAGCAGCTTCGCAGGCCATTAGTTCTGCCCAAAGTATAAATCTTATGTGTCTAGAAATCAGGAAAGCAGCATCTTCTTCCTTGCTTGGCATGTTACCGTACACCTTTGAATTTAACGGGTTGAATTTTTCATAGATACAAAACATCACAAGCAGTCTTGTGAAACTTAGAGGACTGTGTTCCCTGCTCCTCTTAACAAGCACTTTTCTACTGGCCCACAAAGTAGCACATTTTCAGAATTTAAGTGTCTGTGCCCACCTGGATGATTTGATAAGAACAGCAGTCACATAATGTTAGTCATTTGGGTCTTTAAAAATATTAATGCAAAAAATAAAAAAAATAAAAATATTAATGCAATCATCTTACCTCACAGTTCATGTTATTTTTCAGCCCTTGAATGTACTTATCCAATTCAAGCCTGAAAGTATGTTCTTAAGGAAGTGATAAAGGGTGAATCAAGACAGGGTTTTATCTCTCAAAGGGTAATAGGAAAATCTCTTAAATGACTGTTAGTTAAAACAAGCCAAGACATGGGAATTTCTTGGCAGGCCAGTGGTTAGTACTCCATGCTCTCACCACCCGAGGGCTCAGTTTCAATCCCTGGTAGGGGAACTAAGATCATACAAGCTGAATGGCCAAAAATAAATAAGTTCATGATAAAACAAGTGAAGACAAACTGGTCATGTGAAGATATGAAATTGAAGTTCATGCATAAGAGGTAGAAAGGCTTTTTGGAGGTTGACAGTGATAATCCTCTACTTGCCTGCCAGCATTTCCTTCCTGATATCCTCAAAAACCAAAGAAAGGATATAGCTCAAGTCCTTTTTCAGACCCTCCTAAAAAACAGACCACATACTCTGAAGACTTCTGCTCAGAGTCCACTGATGCTGTTTGGGGAAGCGGTTTTTCTTGTTGGAAAAGGCAATAATAACAACCGACTCGGTAACCTGGAATTCTAGAAAAGAAAGAAAAAGCTAAAATGCATTCTTTTGATAACTCATTCATGTAGTTTTGTAGGCTCCTCTGAGCCCTGGTCATCCTGATCTGGCAATGTCGTTAGACTGCTCTGTAGTTCAGAAGCTCCCAGACTTCTCCTTGGTTTACTGATAACAACAGAGGAAAGTGAACATACATCATAACGGGCTTTAACTAAAGCAGCACCTAACAGACACGGAATTTCTTTGAATTCTTCTGTCTTATGTGAAAAATTCATAGAAATTTCACTCTTGTTCACAGTTTACCCATGTTGACATGGTTTATCTGTGTTTTCCCTCCCATAAACATACATGAATCACTGAAGCGCCAGGAAGATGTGAAGTGTTGACCCTGTGGTCTTACCTTTGGGATGTGGCCTCATACTCCTGAAGGGACTTGATTCCAGTATCATGGTCTGAAGTGAACTACAATCAAGGGGTGTAATGGAAAGCTGGCTGGAATTCAACCAAGGACACCTATATTTAAGCCTGAACTCCATCAATGTGACCGGCCTTAGGACCTTAACTTCTCTGAGTTTATTTCCTCATCTGAAATAGGAAGTATCTGCTTTATCACCTCTTTGTAAGGAGAAAGGCACTGAAGCTTGTGAAAGCACTTCACAACTGTACACTGTATAATTTCAGTTTTGGTAATGAGCTCTTTTCTCCCAAGTACAAGACTAAATATGTACCCTTAGGAGGAAGGGAAGGGTCTCTGCCATTCAGTTAATTCCATTCCTCAAGTGTGTGTGTGTGTGTGTGTGTGTGTGTGTGTGTGTGTGTGTGTGTGTGAGGCCCAGGGCTCAGCTGCCAGGAGACAAAGATGAACTCTGCAGGTCTAGCCAGAGCTGATCTGTTGGAGTTTCTCATCGCTTCCCGTATTAGCTCAGAAATAAAATCTCAGGACACAGCACATTTTACACTTACCTCAGCTCTACAGCTGCAACATTACCCAGCCCTTCAAAGACTGCTCCCTTAGAAAGACGCTTCGCAATGCAACCGCGTAGCTCTGGCTCCACTTCAGATGGTAGATTAGTATCTACCAAGGAGAGGCTTGACAAATGAAAGACACACGTTCCTTAGCAGAGGACTCTGCACTTATACCCCGTAAGTCAGACACAACATTGCTAAAAGCCCTCACTAAGGGCTCAGCAGAGCTTCCCATTTGACTCTTGTTGGTGAGGCTTCTAGGGATGTGTGTCACCAAGTACAATCTGCCTCATCCGTTTAAAGTGGTCCTATCTTTCTAGCTCATTCTCTTTAGTATTATGACTCCAGTGGGACCACCCCCCCCCAAACCCACGGACCTTCCCTCTTTTTCACAGTAACCTCAAGTTTCTCATCCTCACCTCCCTTCTTACCCAGCTTAAATTCTGTGGTCAGTCATTACGATCACCGCCCCGCATACATTTTCATTCAACCCCTTTGTTTTCACCTCCTGGTATCTTAGCAAACCTTCAGCCCTGGTTAGTCCAGTTCTCTACCTAGCCTGCACCTGCACCCATGTAGCTGAATGTGGCTGGACAAAACCCCACAACCACAGCGGCTAGTCCCATTTTAAATGAACAACCACTAGCCACCAGTGGGCCCTTATTACCGCTGCCCAGCTCTTATGCCATTTCCTGGTTCACTCTCTTCTACATCACTATTTCATGCCTCCTCTCCTTTCCTCAAGCCTCCCACTACCCACTGCCCCGTGAATAAACACACCAGTTCAGTGATTATTTATGACCTAAACACAAACATTTCAGTTTGGTTGAGATTAGTATATGAACAGAAACTGTAATTTGAATATGTAAGATTTCCCATCCCCAAATTTCCCAACAGAGAATATGAACCCAATATGCCTCACATCTTTGGTTCCATATTAAGGAAAATTTCAAACACTGAAAAGTAGAAAGAATAGTATAATGAACCCACATGTACCTACCACCCAGTTTTGACAATGATCAGCTTATGGGGGAAGGAAGGGATAAACTGGGAGACTGGGATTGACACATACACTCTACTATATATAAAATAGAGAACTAACGAGGACCTACGTACAGCGCTGGGAACGCAATACTCTGTAACGGTCTATATGGGAGGAGAAGAATCTAACAAAGAGTGGATATATGTATCTGCATAACTGAGCCACTTTGTTGTACACCTGAAACACAACATTGTAAATCAATTATATTCCAATAAAAATTATAAAAATTTTCGTTTTCATCTGCACTCCCCGTGTGGTCCATACCCTCCACCTCCCAGGCTTATTTTGGGCTTTTTTGTTTTTAAGCTTTTTATTTTGTATTGGAGTATAGCCGATTAACAAACAACGTTGTGATAGCTTCAGATGAACAGCAAAGGGACTCAGCCATACACATACATGTACCCATTCGGCCCCAAACTCCCCTCCTGTCCAGGCTGCCACATAACATTGAGCAGAGTTAAACAAACAAAACAAAACAAAACACTGAGCAGAGTTCCACGTGCTCTACAGTAGGTTCTTGTCGGTTAAACATTTTAAATATAGCAGTGATTACATGTCCATCCCAAACTCCCCAATTATCCCTTCCCCCAGTCCTTCCCCTCTGGTGAACTATAAGTTTGTTCTCTTAAGTCCCAGACTTATTTTGAAGCAAGTTCCAGGCATCATATTATTTCATCCCTAAACATCTCATTACATATCTCTAAAAAATGAGAATTTAAAAAATATATATGTATGTATCTATAACCACAATACTGTTACAGCACCTGAAAAATTTCTTAGATCATCCATCATCCAGCCTCTCAGTGAACATAATATTTTTGTACTATACCCTACTTTGCATCAAGTGTTGAGGTTCATTCATTCCTTCCCTTAGTAAATATATATTAAACGTCGACCCTATGCCAAGTACCTATCACTCAAGGTTCAAGGCACGGAGACATCAAGGAACGAAAGACAGCAATCATTGCTGGCTTGGAGTTTACACTGCAGTATGCAGCAGCAGAGCTATGAAAGGGTATTCACTGCGGGGGTGTGTGTAGGGAGAGGAGGATTTTAAATTTCTTGATACTCATATGATGTTGAATATTTACTGGAGTTCAATCAAGAAGCTCAGAATAACTGGCTAATCAACATGGTGCTAATTACCAGGGTATGCCTTGAATAAATGAATAAAGGAAAATAAGACGAGGTTCCTAGGGGTGAAGTGGGCTTGATGGTTTCATTCTGGGAAAGCTGAGGGCAGATAAGGTACCCACTGACATCTGCATGCCAGAGATGCCCTTAAGACAAAAGCATATACACGGCTTATGGCCAAGCTGTTTTTACCTGAAATCATCACCAGAGGGAGTTTCTGCATTTGTGCCACCTGGGCTTCCATCATCGCTGTCCGCTCGCTGCTGTGCCAATCTGCTCGCCACAAAACCAATTCAGTTATGAACTATGGGCTCTAAGTCCAGCGGAGTATGTCCTCCCTCCCCCAGCAAGCAAGGAAGCGGGCAAACAGTCCACTAAAAACGCTGCAAGGTAGATATGCTTGAACCCCGTCCTCCTCCGCCTAGCTTCAATGACAGGGAAAACCCATAAAATAGCCACTTAATGCTAGAAGAAATCCTAAATTAAATATCCAGAAATGTCAAGGAAATTTTCTCTTAAATACAACACTTTACAGGGAATTCCCGGGCGGTCCACATAGGACTCGGCACTTTCGCTGCGGGGGGATCTAAGATCCCACAAGCAGCCCAAACAAAAACATAAACAGACTTTACAGGGCCAAAAGAGCCCCAGGAAGTCGGCTCGGGCGGAGGGAAAAGAGGCAGCAAGGACAGACGGTAACCATAAGATGGGGGTAGGGAAGGGGGGTGGGGACGGAGGAAACCGGGGAGACAATGACAGGAAGGACAGGGAGGATGGGGATTGACTTTATTGAGCGTGCGAAGGACTACGCTAAACAAAAGGCAGAGGTGACAGGAAGGGGCTGAGAAGATGTCAAGGACACAGCGCTGAGGCATGGGAGGACCAGGCGCAAAAGTCCGGGATTGGGGGCCGGGAAGTATGGCGTGAGGCGAGGAGGGCCCTGAGGGCCAGAGACCTTGGCTGGGAGGGGAGAAGACGGCGTTTGGGAGCCGCCAAGCTGCGGAACCCGGAGTGGGCTGCGGGGCCGGGCGGCGGGGCCGGGGCGGGGCCACAAGGGCGGCCGGGCGCTGCACCTGCTTCCGCGGTAGCTGTAGAGACAGTAGTGGCTGCTGGGCGGCGGGTCGAGTCTCCGCTCCTCGGCGGAGCCGCCCTCTTCGCTGCTCTCTAGCTCCTTTTCATCCCCATCCAGCGATTCCTGCAAGGAGGGGAGCATCGCGGCGGCCTCTGAGCGGCCCTGCGTTCCCGCCAAACAGCTCCCCCGCTGCCGTACAGTCCTCTGTGGCTGGGCTCGTCCGGCTCCCCGTCCTCGCGCATCTGCGTTCCGCTGGTTTCCCGGGCTCTTAGTCGAAAAAGCTGGAATGCCCCGATTTTTCTGTTTTCTTTTTCTCACATCATTCTGGTCTGTGCAGAAACGTCACTTCCTCAGAGACAACTTCTTAACCGCCCTATGCAAAACATCCCCCTGGCACCTCCACTGCTGTCGCATCAATCTCTATCCTATCCCCTTATATTGCTAGTTCTTCATCCCAGTTATCACCCCGACAAGATGTATTTGTTTACTGTTTCTCCAACTAGAATGTCATCTTGTTCACTGCTATATCCTCTGTCCTAGCCCGTGCCCTGTGCGGCTCAAAAACTGCTGAATTAGTTTGAAGATTTTGTAACGTCAGAAAAAAGAAAAGATTTTTGTAACACCTAGGCATCTTTTTCTTGCACTTTTTACCTTATCACCATATTAAAGATAATAAAGTACACCTACATCTCATAATTTTATATAGAAAAATACTAGCTAACATTTATTGAGCGTTTTCTGTGTGAGGACTTCTCTAAGTGCTTTACAAATACTTATTCATTTAATTCTCACAACCCAATGAGGTAGATATCTTTATTATCCCATTTGACAGAAGAGTAAGCCAAGGCCAGAATTACTGGACTTGTCCATTGTAAAATAAGCTTGTAAGTGGCAGTGCTCTGTCATGTTCCATGCTTTGCCACCCTGTAGACTTTTGCCCGCCAGCCTCCTCTGTCCATGGAGTTTTCTAGGCAAGAACACTGGAATAGTTGTCATTTTCTACTCCAGGGGATCTCCCTGACCCAGGGATGGAACTCTCATCTCTTGCATCTCCTATATTGGCAGGCAGATTCTTTACCTCTGGGACACTTAGGAAGCCCTAATAAGTGGCAGAGTGGCTTTCAAACCCACTGACTCCAGAATTCAAGACCACAAAATTGAAGATGACTTGACCTAAAATTATGTCTTAAAGCCATTTATTTGGACAGTTAATCTCAGGGTTTTTTTGTTTTCACTTTAAATCTTTAATTTCTTACCATAATATTTTGGTTTTACGGAGTATAAGTTCTGAACTTTTGTTAAATTTTTGTTCTTTTTGATGCTATTATAAATGGAATTTTCTTAATTTCATTTTCAGATTGCTGTTGCTTGTGTATAGAAGTACAATTGATTATTGTATATTGACCTTTGTTTTAAAATTTTATTTAATTGAAGGATAATTGCCTTACAATATTATACTGTATATTGATTTTGTATTGTGAACTTTGCTCAACTCTTATTAGCTCTAGATTTTTAAAAAATGTATTCCTTAGAATTTTCTATATATAGGTGTTTCTGTTTTCTAGGATTCCAGTTAAAGTACCAAAGGCTGAGTGGTTTAAATAACAAAATCTATTTTTGGGGGGGGGCTGTGCACCTTGGGGTCCCAACAGTAAAAGTGCTGAGCCCTAACCACTGGACCACCAAGGAATTCCCTAAACAACAGAATTTATCATCCCACAGTTCTAGAGTTTTAAGTCCAAGTTCAAGCTGTCAGTCAGGTTGGTTCCTTTGGAGAGCTGTGGGGACAGAGTCTTCTAAGTTTCTCTCCCTGACTTACAGTGGTTGTCTTCTATATCTCTCCATATTGTTTTCCTTCTATGCCTAACTCTGAGTCTTACAAAAAAAAAATCCCTTTTGGTGGTTAGCGGTCCATGCTTTCAACTCCAAGAGGCAGGGTGCAGCCAGAAAAAAATGTGGGTGGGGTGGGGGAGTTGAAGTAATTTACACAAAATCACAGAGTAAGTATGGAGCTGAGTTAGAGTTTAATTTTTTATAAAACATTTTGCCTCAATAGTGAGAACAATGGATTGGAGACTGAGAATGTGACAGTAACCTGGATAAGAGATCAAACTGGTCTGAAGTAGGACCTTAGTTGCAGAAAAGCATTATATTCATTCTTCCTAAAACAAACAATAATTCTATTTATTTATTTATGCTATGTAGGATTTTAAGGGTCCACTAACCACTGGACGACGACTCCCTTAAGCTGTCTCTTTTTTCATCTGTATTAACCGGGTGATAACAATGGCACCTACATCACATGTTTGTTGAGACAAGTAATGTGAAACTTACACCTTGTCTGGCACACAAATGCTTCATGGATATCCGCTATTATTTTTTCCTTTTAATAGGAACATGTAATTTACATTACTAGTTATTTCTCTATGTTGTAAGTGCCGGCAGAGAAGTTTAAGTGGCTTGCCCGGTCATGCAAATAGGCGGTAGAAAACGATCCCAAGCACCTGGACTCTAAAGCAACTATACTCTTACTTGTGTTATTCTCTAACTGTCCTCTTAAAACTCCTAGGTTGCTACCCAGGGACTTCAGCATAAAACGCAACTTTTTGCCAGCCTCCCCAGCATCAATTCTTGCCATCAGCCCCCTCACTACCAGCTCCAACCTTACTACCTCTAGCTTTTTTTTTTCAGGTGCTCAGGCTCAAAGACTTGCATTTTTTGCACCCTTAGGGAAATACCCTCTCCTCCACCTCGCTTGCTCCCATTCACTCTTCTGGCACCTTTCCTTGATACCCTGATGACCGCCAAGGCTCTATTAAAAGGCTCCCCACCTTTGAGGCCCGCCAACAACTCGTATTTCCATCACCTCGGTGACCACGCTGCGTAGTTTACGCACCTATCACCAATGTATGAGTTACTACACTGAGATTGCGACTTCTTTGATTCAGTAGTAGAAAAACGTCCACCGCTTACTACAAAGAGTAATTAGGGTAATGAAACAAAACGAAAAACTGGGCGCTGTCTCAGTTATCCTTTATTTGTAATTTACCCTGAATTACGCTGGGGATTCTTTTCAGCTTTTCCACTCCCTGCTCACCCCTCCAATTCGCGAGCGTCTCGGCGTAAATGGGTCACCATATCCTTTATAAAGAAAAATAAGCTCTGAGAAATTCGCTCGCACAGGAAAGCCGAGACGGCAAGCACGGACGAGATGGCCGCCAGCCCGACGCGGCCGCGAGTCTCCACCCACTTAGGGCGGATGCCTGCGTCACGTGACCCTCCCCTGCTTGGCACCGCCTCCGGCCGCAGAGCCTGACGGGAGACAGAGCGGCGAGCGAAGGCGTCGGCCATTTTGTGGATGTTTCCTGTGGGACGCGGTTGTGACGGTTGGGTCGGAAGAGTGAGCTATTTTTCACGTTGTTTTTTCCTGTTTGTTTTCTCCTCTTTTTGTCGGTAGAGCGCAGTTATGGGTCGCAAGAAGAAGAAGCAGCTGAAGCCGTGGTGCTGGTATCCTTTGTCGGTTTGAAGTCGAGGCCAAGCGGGGGCGCCGGTTAGTGATGACTGGCTAGGAGAGGCCTGGTTTCGGCCTATGGCGGAGAGTGGGATCTAGGCCGCGAGGTCGGTGGTTTGGTGGTTGGACTTGGATTTGTGAAGACTCGTCAGAAAGTAGGGGCCCTGGGGCGAGAGGCTCTGGCAGTTGTGGGTCGTGGGACTTAGTGACTCAGGAGGTTCTTGTTTTGGTGCGAGCGTTGACCCCCCCTGAGGCGGCTCGGACCCCATCACCAAGGACAGAGTTCCCTGAGGACTCTTCTGCCACTCTCGGTTGTTTTGTTGACGATTCCACAAAGGGACTTCGAGTATAATACGCTGATTGATTCTGGAGGATTAGGAGAGAGCTTCCGGAGTCTTGTCACCCACTTTCTTTTTCTGGTAGAATCAGTGGTTTCGTAAAGGCTTCTGTTAGTCAACCCTGATTTCGACCCCCCCCCCCACTTCCCCCCCTTTTTATTGCGGGAGTGGAGGGGAGATCTAGCTTCCGCGTCTCACCCTCTGGCGCCTTAATCTTCGAGAAGTAACAGGGTGGGGTTACTTATCTTTCTACCTAGCTTTCTAGTAATGAAAAAATGCATTTTAGGAATAAAACGTGGCTTCCCCCCCCCCCCCCCCCCCGGAAACGTTAATAAACTACGTTCTAGCTGTTTTTATTTATTGTCCTGTACCTAAAAAAGCTTGGCTTCAGAACTGAATTTATTTTTGTAATAGTTGAAAAATGGTTACAAGTTTTGTTAAAGTGCTTTTAGAAAAATATGATTAGTGAGTTAATGCTCGGTAACAACTCTTATGTGAGTTTAAATGAAACCTTTGGCAACGTAAATTCGGAATTGCAGGCAACTTTATGGGTTTTTTAGGAAATGGTTACTTTTACTCGCAGTGAACTTATTTTCAGATCCCAAAGTAGTGTTAAATTCTAAATGTAAATTCTTAATCTGATTTTTTTTTATGTTCTCCTTAATCCTTGAAGTTTTGTCGATATAAATTGTGTTGTTTTTATTTAATAAACATTGATCCCTTGCAGTTAACGTGCGTTTGTAAAATGTTGAGAGATTGAACAAAAGTATATTTCACATAAATCTGGTAAACGCTGAAATTTGACAAAGCTATATGGCCTACGGTCTACGGAAATGTGTTTATTTAGGGTTGGTGAAGAGAGATTGTGGGCTTCCGGGACATTGAAAATTCCAAAATTAGTGGCAGGTTTATTTCTAGTTATATAATACCAAAAGCAGAGTTTATACATAGTACTTTTGGTTTTAGCTATTCTCCGTTTTTAATGTTAAGTAGTGAATAGTGTTCTCTTTAATTGCATATTTATTTTCTATAAGTAATGTTATTGTGCTATATTTTTGTACCTTAACAATAGTGATCAGGTATTGTAATAGAGATTTTGATGATGAGAAGATCCTTATACAGCACCAAAAAGCAAAGCATTTTAAATGCCATATATGTCATAAGAAATTGTATACAGGACCTGGCTTAGCTATTCATTGCATGCAGGTAAGGAGTTTTCTTCTCTTACTTAATTTTTGCTCTCTTGTAGTTTGGAAACAATATGGAGGAAAAACCTTGAATTTCTTTTTGAAACCCAAGGGTGTTTTTTGTTGTTGTTCATTGAAAAAGATTGGATAAGATGACCAGTTAATTTAAAAAAAAAAAAAAAAAAGGTTGTTTAGCCATGGAGAAAAGATAAACGATTGATTTTCTATGTTTAAAGAATTTTTATTAGAAATTATTGATATCTTCATCCTAGTTAGATATGTGACAGACTGAAATCACAAAATATTTCCTCAATACTTGGGCAAAAAAACAAAGATCAGTGAGTTAAATTTTGTAGGCAATCTGACCAGTTCTACTCCTGTAAGAATTAGTACATAATTAACTGCCATTACTCTGCCATTGAACGATTTATTACAATCCCGTTGCCTGCCTGGGGCTAGGTTTAGTTCCACCATTTATTCCATGGAAGGGTAGTGCAGTATTTCATTTAAAACTTACAAGTTTTATTTTGAAGATCTGTTTTATTCAACATTTCTTCTACTTTGCCAGTCCTAGAGCTGTCTGAATTTTTGCGTAATTGGACCCTAGAGAGGCGTGAGATGAAGGAATCCCCATTGGAAATTACTGTTGGTAGGAGGCAGGGAGGTAAATTAAAACAAGATTATTGCTTCCTCAAGCTTAAAAATAAGTTTTTGTATATCTTTCTCATTTCTATCAAGCCAATCAGTAATTTAAAAATCCATTCAGAAATCTAAGTCCTGCTACATCCACAATTTTCCATTGTGGCAGTCAGTGGTGGTTAATTGCTAAATCCTGTCTGACTCTCTTTGACCCCTGGACGGTAGCCTGCCAGGCTCCTCCGTCCTTGGAATTTCTTAAGCAAAATACTGGAGTGGGTTGCCACTTTGAACTCAGGTCTCCTGCATTGCAGGCAGATTCTTTACTGCTGAGCCATGAGGGAAACCCAGTCACTAGTTACTTGTGACTATTTTAAAAGAAATTTTAAAATGAGAAGTTAAATTCCTCAGTCGAATTACAGTCACATTTCCATTGCTTAGTCCCATGTGACTGGTGGATGACTATTGTATAGTACAGATGTAGGACTTTACCATTTACGTGAGACAGCATTGTACAGTGTGTGAAGCACCATATATGTAGCAATGAATAAAATAGTCATTTTTGTGAAGTTTAGATTAACACTGAAGGAAAACAACCCATAATTGTTTACTTAGTCTTATGCTGATACATGATAGAGAACTAAAACTAGGTAGAGGGGAATAGGGGAGGGCCATAAGATAGTAAAGGCCTGAATGCCAAGCTGACATCTGAACAGAGATCAAAGAGGGTGAGGGAGAGATTCCAGGGAACAGCAAATGAGAAACTGTTACATCAGGAGTTATCATCCTATATTGAGGGAAGAGCAGCAATGTGCTACTTTATATAGGAGGTCTAGTTGGCTGCTGTATTTCTTTAAGTCTGAATGAAATGGGAGGTTTTAATTGAAGTGTAACATGTTTTGGTGTACTTTGGGTCATTTTGGCTGTAAGGTTGAGAATAGACTGTAGAGTGCAGTAAGACCACCTTAGTATTGGAGGCAAGAGGTGATGGTGACAGAGATAAGAATTTGTTGATGGGTTAGATGTGGAACGTGAGAAAGTGAGGGGTGGAGGATGATCTGAAGGTTTTTGGCTTGAGCACTGTGAAAAGTGAGTTGAATACAGTGATAGTCAATTGGCCCTTGGTATTTTGGTATCACTGTGGATTCAACCAACCACAGTTGGGAGTCAGTTGATTGAACCCTCAAGTGCAGAAATCCACAGATACTGGAGGGTGACTGTACTGTGCTATTTTATATGAGGGACTTGAGCATCCTTGGTATGAGATGGGTAGTCCTGGAACCAGTTCCTCGATACCAAGGGATGACCACTGATGTCTAGAAAGCTACAGGACGAATAGGCTTAAGAGGTGAGAATACTAAATCATCTTATGTTTATTTTGAGTATTTTAGTGTTGAGAAGGTCTTACTGAATATCCAGATGGAGATGGCATATAAGCAGTTGAATCTGCGGGTCTATAGTTTAGAGAAGTTGGAGCTAGAGATGGAAGTTTGGGAGGATACAGTATAAGGATGGCTATTTTAAGCCATGACACTAGATGTCCTTAGGGAGTATAGATAGAAAAGAGGTGCAAGGACTCCACCTTGGGTGTCTCCCAGCATTTAGAGGTAATGCTGATTAAAATAAACCAGAAGGTTGAAATAAACCTACGAACATTGAGAAGATAGGAAAACCAAGAGACTAGTGCCCTGGAAGCCAAATGAGGTGTTTTAAGGAGAGAGTTAGGTCAAAGCTAGTGGTAGGTCAAGAAAGCACAGGACGAAGAGTGGTTTGATCAAAGTAGAGGTCATTGATTACTTGCCAGGAGTGCTTTCCTAGGATGAAGAAGATGAAAGGCTGATTGGAGTGCTTGCAAGAGAAATGAGAGGGATAGGAGAGGCACTGTTTCGGGGAGTTGTACTATAAGAGAAGAGGGAAGAAATGTAATGAAAGCTGGAAGGACTATTAGTAATGTCTTTAATTGAAATTGTCTATTTATTTAATAAAAAAGAAATTGTCTATATATTTTTATAGCAGCCTGTGACATAGGCATGGCAGTTAAATTAGACACATGCTCCAGTTTTTATAGATAAAAGATGTTTTCCTCTCATTACATAGAAGCGTAATGAAAACTAGTTACTGTGTCTGTGGATGTAGCTATATTTCTTTAAACAACATAGAGATGACTTCATGTTCATCATCAAGAAAAGTAACATTCTAAAAAACTTGGGGGGGGAATAATTACATGATTTATTGAGTAGCTTTATTAATGGATCTTTTTTAATCATAATAAGATAATTTCTAAGTTTGATTTGCATTTCAGTTTTTAAAATCTTTGAGATAACTCTTCTAGGAAGAAAAAAGTTTTCTTTACCTTTCTTCTGTTCTGTGAGAGTCTTAAAGGAAAAGAAAAATGTATTACTTGGACAACTGTATCAAAGTCATTTCCCTTACCGTGTAAAAGTGGTTCTCAAACGAACATGCAAAGGAATCACTTTGAAGGCCTGGATTCATTGTTGTACTCAAGAGTTTCTGATTCAGTAGGACTCAGGTGTGCCCTGAGAATTTGCATTTCTGATAAGGTTCCAGTTGAAGCCAGTGGTCTTGGCAAACTACTTTGACATCCTTTAACCTAAGTTAAAACATTTTGCTGAAGGAACCAAGACTGACCAGGGTTTTACCATATTGGCAGAAGTTACTCACTGAGGGTTAGAAATGTTTGATCTAGCAAAGACCATACAGTGAAAAAAGGTCCTGAATCCTCAGTGTTATACAGTAACACATCTTAAGAACTTCTTTTTGTGATCAACCAAATACATTTAGAGATAGGGACAGGTTCTCTGCTATGGCAGTGTTAAGCTCCTCAGGTGACTCATTAGCTGTGGGTAATGCTAATTATAAGTGTCACTTTGTGGTTTGTAATTACTAGCTTGTCAAGTACATCATTGGAAATTTCACTTTATTCTGATAGTTAATATAATAAGGCTTCGTAAGCATTACTTAATTCAGACTTCCTGATTTGAGTAGTACTGTTACTTCATTGCTAATAATTCAAACAAAATTATAAGCTACATTGCCAAGTGCTTTTTATATATTAATCTTAAAAATAACCTGAGAAGTTAGGTAGTAAATTAGGTGAAGTAAACTGAGGCTTAGGTCAAATGATTTGCCCAGACTCATTTGCCCAGACTCTCAAAAGCCGGGGGGTTGAATTCAGTCTCACTATAGAACAAGTTATTCTTTACCTTTATACTAAATGGCCTATGAGTAATTTAAAATTCTTTTTTAAAAAAAGACTTTCATGAGGCAGTTTTGTCTATCTAATGGAAGGCTTGTGTTTTGTTTGTGTGGATTTGTTTGTTTTTTAATTTTAGGTGCATAAAGAGACAATAGATGCAGTACCAAATGCAATACCTGGGAGAACAGACATAGAGTTGGAAATATATGGTATGGAAGGTATTCCAGAAAAAGATATGGATGAAAGAAGACGACTTCTTGAACAAAAAACACAAGGTAAATACTAAGGTATATGCTTAATAAATAACTTTCTTAATAAAGCTTCACTAATGAGAGTATTATTACTATTTTAAAGTATAAATTTAACGGTCGGTATTAGATCTATTTGGGCTTCCTTGGTGGCTCAGACAGTAAAGAGTCTGCCTGTGATGCAGGAGACCTGGATTTGATCCTTCGGTTGGGAAGATCCCCTGGAGGAGGGCATGGCAACCCACTCTAGTATTCTTATGTGGAGAATTTCCATGAACAGAGGAGCCTAGCAGGCTACAGTCTGTGGGTTCGCAAAGAGTCAGACACACTGAGCGGCTAAGCATAGCACTGCACGTTAGATCTATTCAGAATTCCACAGTTGTGAGGAGGTTTGTTTTTTTTTTTTTAAAGGGAGCTTACATTCTCTTTTTCCATCAGTTATAATTCTTCAAAACCTTACAATGAACATAGACCCTCACGTGAAAATCAATATTGATACAAATGTATCAAATGTACAAAACTGCAGTATAAATCTCTGGCTGCTAGCATGACAGTGAAAGTAACTTTTAGTGTTTTTTCAGTTTATTAATTTACATTTAAGAAAGCATGACACTAATATCTCATAAATTTTGATGCACCTTGAATATGCACATTAAAATCAGAATAAAATTTTGATACAGTCTTTACATGTACATTAAAATTAGAGCAGGAGCAAATATATACCTGTGTTACACCACTGGGCATAACTGTTTAAAAGAAATAGGCATTCTTCCACCTAGAAATGGACACATGTTTTACATATATTTGTCTTATGTTTGAAATTAATAGATTTTGTTTTGTATACATGGTACTGTTTGGATAATTTCATACATTATTTTTGTGCTCATAACTGAATTCCAGGTAGATACAGCAAGTGTTAAGGCCTTTAAAAATGAAGGTACCTTGTTTAGATTTATGAAATCACTGGTTGTAAATTTTTTTTTTTTGGTTGTAAATTTTTAGTACTGTATTTGACTTGGTATTTGCAGCCCTCTTCTATCCAAATGATAGAATCTTCTTAATAACCTAAGAAATTTTTTATTTTGAAAAGCATTACAGGGAGGTCAGACCGCTTTGTCATAATTTACCTTTTAGAGTGGAATGGGAAGCTTGTTTGGTAAAGTATAGCTGATTTAGGAAAATGACTTTTGCCTGCCATAGAACAGGGAGAGGATGTTAACCTTCTTGCTTAATACAGATTGAAAAACCATTCAAAGAGTAAAGAACAGTGTTGGCCGAATTTTTTTTTGGGAAAAAAAAAATCTCAAGAGCTAGCTGCACTGAAATAAAGTTTATAAATGTTGAATGTCTTAGACTTGCTTTGTTTTTCTTTTTTTTACTCTATGGGAAAAATTAATTGAACCTTTTTTAGCAGAGAGTCAAAAAAAGAAGCAGCAAGATGATTCTGATGAGTATGATGATGATGACTCTGCAGCTTCGACTTCATTTCAACCACAGCCTGTTCAGCCTCAGCAAGGTTATATCCCCCCAATGGCACAACCAGGACTACCACCGGTTCCAGGAGCACCAGGAATGCCTCCAGGTAGCACCTAAGGCCTCTTACTATTTAACATTCTCAAGTCTTCATTGATACAGATTAAAAGTATTAATTTTTCCTTCTTAATTTTTTGTATGTTTTCTTTTTGGTGAAAATTCTTATTTATAGGCATACCTCCATTAATGCCAGGTGTTCCTCCTCTGATGCCAGGAATGCCACCAGTTATGCCCGGAATGCCACCTGGGTAAGAAAACTCTTAATTGACTTGTGAGCTGGTGCCTAGTAGTGATCTTTCTCAGCTTGGGTGTTTACATCAATTAAATGTTACTTTGTGGGGTGTTTTGTTTTGTTTTTTGCTTCTAAAAGGTATGGGCTCTATTAATTATTAAACTTATCTAATAAAGAAATCTACTAATAAATTTAAGGAATATAAATTTGCCTCTGAAGAGAATAGATTTTTGGGTTTTAGGATAAATGTAGGCAGCCATCTGCTTCAATTGCATCTGATGTAATTAAAGTAGTTGGTTGTAGATTTGAGTTTTTGAGATTCAGAACTGTCCATGACACTTTGTAGTTGTGACAGAAGCAAACTCTGTAAATGATTTGTCAAATCTTCAAGAACTAAAATGAATATGAGGTGCCCGTGCTCATCACTTTTACTTAAAAATATTGTTGGATGTGAAAGGTATACAATACACTTTCCCACTGTATTTTGAAAATCACAGTTAGATTTTGATTTTGTCATACATTTTCACAGATTGCATCATCAGAGAAAATACACCCAGTCATTTTGCGGTGAAAACATGTAAGCATCTCATTCATAATGTAATTCAGGAGGTATAATCATAATGTCATTTTTTTGTGTGTTTAATGGTATCTATTCAGTTGACTTCAAAACTTTTCTAACCTTCCTCACTAAAACTTCTAAAATTTGCAAACTGACACAGATCTCTTAAAGGAGGGAACTAAAAAACATCTGAGGAAATAGTAATAGACCCACATAAATCATTTTCTAATTTTGTAGCTGTTTTCCCCAAGCTGCTAAAAGTTATGAGACTTAGTAGAGAGGGTTGATATTTAAGAAAGAGTATATTCTTTTGTGAAATTACATGCTCTATTATGGAAAGTAATTGAATTTTCTTTAATAAAACCTATATATAGAAGTTATTCTGTTTAAGAATCCTAAATCAAAAATTCACAAAACTTGTAATTTTTTAAGTGAATTGGACACTGATATTTGAAGGTGAGCTCTTCTAAGGAAAGGAAAATAAATATGGGTTGTGCTTTTAAGTCCTGGTTTAGTGTTAGGAGCTTTCTACATAAAAAGTAGAGACTGTGAGTTTAGTTTTGGTTATCTTTCATTTTGATGGTAGTTCATGTGTGCCCATCCCCCAAAAAAGAAAACTCTTCACTCCATAGAATACACTTAGTATTTTTTCTTTTTGGAAAAAATCTGACAGCTCTAAAATGGAGGGTTCTGTTTAAGGGGGGAGGTTTTTTGGTTTTGTTTTTGTTTTTTAATTTATATTCTGTGGATATATTCCAAGTGAGACAGAAAGTGATTTTGTTTTCCAGTTAACACATCTTAGATAAGGCCTCTTGTTTTTAAGAGTAAAATATTTGTTCTCAGTAACTTTAAATGTATTAAAATGTTCTTTTAGCAGACACTGAATTTTTTTCCCCCTATTCTACTGGTAAACCAGAGTGTTTGCTGGGCTTTAGGGGATTTATTTTGATAGGATTGTTTTTAGTGTGTTGTATGTTCTTCCACTTTGATAGATTTCAGTATTAGAGGTCAAATTCAAGTCTTTATTGTTGTTTCAGGCTTTTAGCTAGAATATTTTCTAATGTTTTATGCTGTTAATTAATTTTAGTTGTCTCTTGAAATTTGCTTTCTAATAGAATGATGCCAATGGGTGGAATGATGCCACCTGGACCGGGAATACCACCTCTGATGCCTGGTATGCCACCAGGTATGAAATGTTAGACAATTTCCTTTTTAATATGACAGGCATGTTTTATTCTTAAGTTTTTTGAATAACAGATTTATGAGCATTGGTACAATGTGATTTTAAATTTTCTATAGGTTAGCAATTTCTTTTAAAATTACTGTGAGAAATTACTGTGGTTTTATTTGTGTGTGTGTGTGTGTGTGTGTGTTTTTAAATAGATAGTAAAAGTAGTCTTCAAAGCAACCAGAACGAGTCATTGAGCTTGTGACTTAAAGAGTGGTTATATATATTAGGAATATTTTAGACAAGTAGTGGAGACCCTTAGCAAGTAACAGAAAAATCCAACCCTAAGTGGTAGATTTGGTGACTATGGTAATAAAGAACCCATACTTTCTTAAATTTGCCACTTTGCCAGCCTTAGCTTTTGTCCCTCAGACTTGTTACTCGGTAGTTCCAAGATGACTCAGGCAAGAAAGGATGCTTTTATTTCTTTTACTTTATGGCAAAGTAACTTTCCCAGAAGCTCTTAGCCTCTTAGATATCATTTGCCAGAAAAAGGTCTAATGGACCCCCTAGGTACAAGGAAGCCTGCAAATTAATTAAAATACCTTGACTTTTTAGTCTATAATGTGAGGGGATGGGATTTGGTTAGCCCAGGAAATAAGTGCCCCAGAGGTTTCCATGAGACACTCTTGACCTGTTGCCTGGTTTTTTAATCCTAGCATGTTTGATTTGCAGTCCGTAACAGATTCACATGTGCTCAAGTGATAATATAAAAGGAGCAGGAAAAATAAAGCGGCAGCAAAATTTGAATCATAGCTAGCGCAACCATTAATTTTTAGGCAACAGCTTCACATACATTATGATCTGACATAACTTTAGACCTTTAAAGGAATAAAGAAAAATAACCTGTATTCATTTGCTAATGGGAAGTCAATAAAAGTTTGTTACTTTGAGGCACTTGAAAGAACGGCTAGTGGTGCATTTAGGGAAATGTATGTATTATGAGTATATGACCTATTAATAGTTTTTATTGCAGTTTGCATTAGAGTTCTGGAAACATCTATTAGATGATTGAAATAATTCTATATGTTTGAAAATTTTATTGCATTAGTAATATCAATAGGCCTAATTGTTGCTCTGCCTATATATAGGTTTTCTCGTGGTATCTTATAACGTCTAAAAATTTTAAAGAGGAACAAAGTCATATAGAAAGTTGGAGGCAGAGTTGTTCCAAGTGGCAAATATCTACGTTCTCTGGGTTTCTTTGAGTTCAGGAGTCAGGAGTTAGTAACTTTACAGTATAGGGGTTTTTGTTTTGTTTTTAATTGGCTACGAATTTTTTTAATTCTCTGCAGGTATGCCCCCTCCTGTTCCACGTCCTGGAATTCCTCCAATGACTCAAGCACAGGCTGTTTCAGCTCCAGGTATTCTTAACAGACCACCTGCACCAACAGCAACAGTTCCGGCTCCGCAGCCTCCAGTTACTAAGCCTCTTTTCCCCAGTGCGGGACAGGTAAGGCGAAATTCTTGAAAAAGGAGTGCATTAATATTTAAAGGTAAAGTGCAGTTTACTGAAATCCTTCAGTTTGTCATAGGTTATTTAAGTAGTTCCTAATCTTTTTAATATAATTTATTAATTGTACTAGGGAGTGGCCTATTCTCTCCCATGTTTGCACACATTGATTTTCTCTACTCATAAAAGATAACTGAAACCAGAGAATAGTGTTGTATGTTTTTTTTCATAATAGTTAATGCTGGTTATTCTTCACTTTATTAGAAATGAAAATTTAATCTTTGGGAGCGTATGGGAGCGTAAATAAAAATATTAAGAACTCCTCTTTTACATAATGAGCTCTGGGTAGAATGAAACCAAAGACAAAAATGTGAAATCCTGAAACCTGTAGCAAATTATTTTTGGGCTCTTCCTTTAATCTAGAATTGTTAAACAATGTTGCACTGTTGTAGGAAGGGCGTCATTTAATGGATTTTGACCTAGTCAAACTGGTATTTCTACTGTCTTTTTTCTACCGCTTGCCAGAACTCAGAAGCAAAAAATTATTTTATATGTAGTATGTATGTAATAGTTGTTACCCAGTTTCATTCTGAATTAGGCAGGTGTATTTAATTCATTTAGAATTCAAAAGATCAGGATGTATGTTATATTCTTTATTGTTCACCTTAAAATGATCCATTAGGAAAAAAAAAAAAAATGATCCATTAGATGTTTTCTTTTTTTCAACTTTTTCCTATTTGTAGTTTCTAAATTAACAAACATTACTTTTTAAGTGCCTTTTAAAGCATATTAACTTATGTTTTTGAGATTGGGGGTGATCTTTTTTTTCTGAGAGATGTTATTAAACTTTTGGCAAATATTGTTACTGAGAAAATTAAGTAATGCATCATAATTCTCAGTTTAAGGTATCAGTTTTGAAATACCATAGTGCAGAACACCTTAGGTTTAGGGGGAAGAAAAAACTATGGTTAATTAGATTTATTGATATAGAATTAAAGTTTTTTTTAAACTCATACTGTCACTCTGTTTATTGTAAATGCATTAACTGCCTACCTCTCTATATAAAACAGTTTTGATTGCATTGTATTTTGCATTTAAAGAAATGCAATCTATACTGAAAAAAAAAAGTCTACCACATGGCTTATTTTCACCCATTTGTTTGGAGACTTTTCATTGTTTCCTTTCTTTTATGCTACAGATGGGGACACCTGTAACAAGCTCAAGTACAGCTTCATCCAATTCAGAAAGTCTGTCTGCATCTTCTAAAGCTCTGTTTCCTAGCACAGCACAAGTACGCAGGAAGTTGCAGTTTAAAATTGTTAAAATGGCTTTATAACTTAACCCTTTGGACCCTACTTAAAAAATTAATCTTTTCCCAAAAATATAGTATTTAATTTTTTAAAAATAAATTAATGGCTTATAAATCAATGGTATTTGAAAATTTGAACCACATACTAATAGAAAAAAATGTACCCCAAACTCCTATGGCTCTAAAGGGTTAAAAGCATGTAAGCAGTAAGTGCATTATAGTGGCCAATGGTTAGCTTGATGCATGATTAAGCTATTCTGTTTTATGCTGTTTAATGCATCACATATAACATAAGGAAATTTAGTACTCTGCATTTGGTTCTAAAAATTGGCCTAGTTTACATGTTTTAGATGCATAGTGTTACAGAAAGTAACAAATTGATTACTGGTAACTTTATACTTAAAAGCTCTACTGAACCCTTTTGTCCATCATAATCATACAGACATTGTTAATTGAGCGGACATTGTATTACTATATAAAGAATACTTCTGAAGGCCATATCTTTAATGTGTCACCACTGATGATTGTTTATGGTAGGCTTAGTAACTGAAATTTATGCAAACATATTTTTGTATTCTATAATTTGACTTTTTCTTACTTTTTTGTTTGGTAGATCAATTTTTTAAAAAGTAATTTAGAGTAATGAAAATTGAACATATGCTATTTCATGATACAATACAGTATTTCATCAATTAGGAATAATACAAAGCTTTGTAAATTTTTGGTGAGGAGATATATGCTGCCTGAGAAATTACGTAAGCAGTCTCGTTTCTTGTTTCCCCTGCTGTGTTTTAGTTGTGCTTTGATTCAGCATCTTTCATTATTATATGTTATCTTAAATTTTGTGGATTGATCATGATGTTAACTTAGTTTCCATTTAAAATTTTGTCCCTTATTGAATGTTAATGTATTGCTTTTAAGTTAAATTGGTAGTAGATACATTCAGTTTTGAGGTTTTATTGATGAAAGATTGTTTTACAGGCTCAGGCAGCTGTCCAGGGACCTGTTGGTACAGATTTCAAGCCCTTAAATAGTACCCCTGCAACAACTACAGAACCACCAAAGCCTACATTCCCTGCATATACACAGTCTACAGCTTCAACCACTAGTACAACAAATAGCACTGCAGCTAAACCAGCAGCTTCCATAACAAGTAAGCCTGCTACACTTACCACAACCAGTGCAACCAGTAAGTTGATCCATCCAGATGAGGATATATCACTGGTAAGTTGTTTACAATTTTTTGAAAAAGTTTTAATTTGTGTACCAATGGTCTTACTATCTGATTGAATGCTAAGTGATTTTTACCATTCAAATTTATTTTTACCGTTCTAACTTCACAAAACAAAGTGAATATTGCATATTTTGATCTTAGATGCATTCCCCCTCCCCTAACACTATGTCTAAAAGAAGGTAGTGAGTTCGGTTCTTATTCTTAAAAATTAGTTTAGTTGGACATAAACTTGTAAATGAATTGAAGAAGCAGTTAAGTGTGAGATAGAGTCTGCAGATTGCTTACTGTACATACACCTTCTCCATTACACAGTTTCTTGCTGAAGCAATTTATAATTCCTGGAAAGTTGTTCAAACATAACATACTTGAAATATAAAACTAGGTGACGTTTCTTAAGGCATCAAGGTTTTAAGTAGTTGGATTGATTTGTGTTGTGAAAAGGTAATTGGAATGTAAGAGTACATTTAAAAATGATTATAAGGACTTTAGTTTCTTGCCTTCATGCTTAACAACTCTATGTGTTCATATGTTTCACATCTCACATATTTTTATTCCTAGGAAGAGAGAAGAGCACAGTTACCTAAATATCAACGTAATCTTCCTCGACCAGGACAGGCTCCCATTGGTAATCCACCTGTTGGACCAATTGGAGGTATGATGCCACCGCAGCCAGGCATCCCACAGCAACAAGGAATGAGACCCCCAATGCCACCTCATGGTATTCCTCTTTTTACATTTTTTTTTATTTAGTGGCTTTTCTGAGTGTACACATAAAACAAATTTATATGCAAAATGCATTACATTTAAAAGTATGGTGCACAGACTGAATCTTTTTTGTGTGTTTTAAATGTGTTTTTTAGGTCAGTATGGTGGTCATCATCAAGGCATGCCGGGTTACCTTCCTGGTGCTATGCCACCGTATGGGCAGGGACCGCCAATGGTGCCCCCTTACCAAGGTGGGCCTCCTCGACCTCCGATGGGAATGAGACCTCCTGTAATGTCGCAAGGTGGCCGTTACTGATCTTACTTCATCCAGTCTAATAGGTTTGGAGATTAAACCTTTTCTCAACTTGTGCTGTTTATATAGCCAAGCTTCCGTCAATAAGGCGTCATTGTGACTTTAACAAAAACATTATCTTCCCACATACCAGGAACTATTGGACATTTATTTTACATGGGAAAATTTATTTGGAATAATAAAGCAGGAACTTTTCCTGAAGTTGCAATTTATACTGTATGGCTTCTTTTTCATGTTTCATCTAGGTTTTTAGAAGTGAAGTATAGTAAATTTGGTTCGTTATATTGTGAAGGCGCTGGAATTACATGAACATACCACCTTAATAAAGGCAAGTTCTGTAAGCTTACATTGCTATTTGTAAAGTTATGCCTTCACAGCATTTCAGATGCTGTTGGACTTCATGTCCCCAACCTAGCTTGGTGAGGGCTGTAACTGTCTCCAAGTACCTGTACATTGGAAGTCTGAATGTGTAACAATATTTAATGTATTTAGAGTTCCTCATGTTGCAGGGTTTAAGAAATCTGACCCTCCAAGGTCATGTGACTTTTCTGTACTGTTAAACTTCATTGTAATAAAATGAGAGAAAAATTTATGCCTTTTTATTCGTAACCCAGCTGTGGACCACTGCCTGAAAGGTTTGTACAAATGCATGCCAGAGTAGATGTCCACATAATAAAATTCGTAGTTACCAATGCAGTTTTGATATATCATTGGATTCTGTCATTGAATTGTAGGTTGTTCGTTAGCTGCATGTTTTTAACTGGACAGTATATGTGGTATTGTATGTTAATCCTTCAGTTGACAAAAAACTTATATATATATATATATATGGGTCATTATATGAGTATGAAATCTTTATATTGTGTCACCTTTCCACCCCCTTGCTCTCAGTACATGTTAGATATAGAGACTTAAAATGTAAATCCTAATATTCCCTTCTTCCTGCTGCTGATGTTTAGAGCCTAGTGCCAGACCCATTCATTTCCTTTAGATTATATTTGAAACCGCGGTACTGAGTGGACCTCAGAAGCTTTTCAGGTGCAAAATTCTAGAAGCTTAGGTGCATGCAGTAATAGCCTTTTGTGCTGTTAATGACTGGTATGTATTCTAAGTGTAATTATGAGAATATAAATGTGCCTCTGTTAAGATGGTTAACAGATGGATTTGAAAATTTTTATTATGTTCCTGGAAGATTTCATTATTTCTTTGATTAAATGGCTGCCTTCTGTTATTAAGCCTAAATGGCTTTTTGCTGTTAACCTTTTCATCCTTGGAAATTTGAATGTTAAAACTCTTCTATGGAGAACATTTCTATAGAGATGACTGCTATTATTCAGTATCTTGAGTTGCAAGTCTAATAATAATAGCTCGTTGACCACTTTTTGGCATCTATTTTTAAATCTTTTGTAGAGTACTTTTATGATTATTTAAGTATCAAATGACCTGTACAAAGTATAATTATTAATATTATGAACTCAAGTTTAGTTTTCTTTATAAAGTTAAGACAGCTAAGAAAATAACATTTCTCTATAACCTTATGTGGAGGTGTAGGTATCAGACAGAATCTGAAGTTTTGTTTAAGAAAAAAGTTTAACCATATAACAAAATACTAAAGGATGTTTTAATTATCATAAAAGAGTCTGTATATAAGTGACAAGTAAAGTCATTGATTTAAAGAAAATACTAAGTATTACAAAGCTGAGTGCCATTTGTTTTGCTCCAGTGGTGTTATAGCTCCTGTGCTATTTATCACCAGGAAAGCATTTCTTTCTCTACCCCTTTTCTTAACAAACACTTGTCTACCTAGATAGTTTGGAATTATCATATACTTCTTAGATTTGGCAGTACATATATCATACTGCCAAAGAAAGACCTGTGTTGAGAATCTTTAAGGTCAAGATGGCATAATTTAAATTTAGAATTGTTAAATAGGAAATGTTTTCCCAAACCAAGTGTCTCCCAAGCATTTCATGTACAGGGTTATCAACAACCAGGAATGGATGATAGCAGTGGGGCAGAGGGGGCACAAAGAGGGTAAAAATGGGTTAGTAATATTTCAAAAATTTTGCAAAGCTTCATTTGCATTTAATGCAAAGAGAACCAATATATTGAGGTTGCTTTCTGAGATCTATAAGGAGAAAACATTACTGCTTTTGAATAAGGGGTAGAACTCTATAAGTTATTTCAAAGTGTTAGGCACAGCACTTAGACTTAGGCACATCATCTCTTATGTTTGTATGTATATGGCTCAGATGGTGCCCATTTGGTATATTTAATGTATAATTTGTGCATGCATCAGAGCATAATAAGCTTCTAGAACATACTTTTTACCTAATTGCTTCTGGGGTCCATATTATGGTTCAGTAATGAGTGGAACAAATTATGTTGAAGTAATTTTAACTCTTTGACTTAACTTTCTTAAATAATGGATGGAGTTCAGTTTAAGTAAACTTCATCTGCCCTCACAGAAGACAGCTTTGGGGACCCAGTTATATACAAGCAGGCATTGTGATTAACATAATTTAGGAGGTTGTCAGATTAATGAGACTGCCAGCTTTGGCTCTAGCATACATCTGTTGTCACCACTTGGAAAAAAAAAAAGAACCACCATTTTTGTCTGGCACTAGTTTCTATTATGTAGCTTTTACTACTGTATGACAGTAACAAGGCCAGCAGGTGAGGATCAACTTTTGAGTGACTGCTGGAATATCATTTGACTTGAATACTTACTGTCTTAGCAATCTCTCACACATTTACAAATTAGAAATGGGGTAAATATTCTTTGAGCCCTCCTATTCCACTGATCAAGTTACATAATTGAACTTAAACTCAGTTTAATTAAATTTAGTTATTTGTGGGGATGGGGGAGAGTCCCAATAAAAGTATGGACTCAGAATGGAATTACAGTGGACAATAGATTTTTTTTTTTAAGAGCTACTCCTTTTTTCCTATGCTTGCTTGATCATTGGGATTTTTTTTAATGCATGTCTTTTAAATTAATTGGGTAATGTTTTTCTAAAATTAAAATTTTCTTCTTCCTATAGCCCTGCCATAGGACAGGCTGAGGCTGAGTCTCAGTGTTGCCCTGTTCAGTCTGAGGCAAGTGGGATTTATTTTATTCCTTATAGGGGCTTTCACAGCTTTATGGCTGTTGGATATTCATGTCCCCAAACTTGCAGCAAGTTTGGTGAAGGCCCCTAAATTTAATTAAATTTAGGGTTTTTATACTCTCTTGGCAGAGAAGGCTCTATATTAATATTCACGTTTGACTGTGGTGTTAATAAACAAAATATTTGACATGTAATTTGTGTTACATAATACTTAACGGCCTCAGTAAAGCTGGTATTACTTGTATTGAACTTCAGTAAATTGACAAAATTTGACATTGTTGATTTGGAGGCTTGATATGTTTCATTCAAATTTTCCCTTTTACTTTTTAGGAAAATCTGACTGGTTATTTTCTCCTCAAACTATTAAATTTAACCTCAAGGATAAGTTTAATCATTAGACATGCCACTGGATAGTGAAATCTGCTTTTTTTAATTGCAAAGTTACGTATTGAAGGTTGAAAAGCCATCTGGAAATGCCTGTGATTTTTAATATATATAAATCTCACCACATTAGAGCAAATGTTAATGTAGAGCCCTGTGAAAAGTGGGAAGATGGTGTGTATGTGTGGTATGTATGTGTATACACTACACATTTGGTAAAAAAGGTTTGGGTATTACGACTTACAGTATGGGTGATTATTTTCAAACAGCCAAACTGAAATTGTATCACATAGTAAAGTTAGTATATTGAACTGTGGTTTTGGAATGATAATTTTGAGTTTCATTTTTATCTCTACTGAGCAATATTTGATGCAATATGCACACACGAAAAGCATCTATGTATGTTTCCAACCAAAAATTGCTTTTATTTGGTTAAGAAAAGTATTTATGTGTATATGTTGTAGGGGGCAAGGGGGAACTGGAAGAGAGGCCAAAACATTAACTTGGATTACTTTTGTTCCTTCCTGTGTTAAAGCCATCGTTCTATGCAGATAGCATTTTCCTCTGAACAGTAACAGTTAACGTATAGTACAATGTTTAGCAAACTCAGGCTTGTGTTTCTATGTGGTTTTAATTCTTGGAAGCGTAAAGAAATACACATTCAGTGAATTCCAAATTTTCACGTCTGTAACTAGAACATATGCTTTTCTCTGTAACTGAATCATGGAAAGAAGATAACAATGTTCGAAAAAAGAATGTGTCACCACAAAAAAATTCCATTGGAATATTTTACTCCCTGCTCAATAATTGCACCTTTTAAGACTCCTTAGTTGGAGGTGCTTTCTGTTAAAGCCACCACTGCCCCAATATATTGAAATATTCAAGTGTGAAGTTGCTTGTCCCATTTCTAATAGTGACCATTGAAATAATTGAAATATACTCAAGCATATTTGAGTGATGGGGTGGGAGGGATTTTCTAAGGGTGACATAATTTATTGGAGGTGATAAGATGTAGGTTCTTTGAGCTCTGTAGTTCTGTGATTCAGACAAATAACAATTTTAAGAATTACTTAACTCTCAGGTGTCTATCATGTCCACTGGTAAAACTTGGTAAATTACTGAAAGGAAATGTTGAAGTCACTTATTTTCTGAGATAAAATTTTGTTTAAACTGACACTTGTGTTGGTTATGAGATTTTTTTAAAGTAGGAAACATGTAACCTAAAATTTGTGTAAATCAGGTATGTCTTTTTTTTAAGGTGGTATTTATCTACCATATTGAATAACTTTTGTATGTTATTCCAAAATGAAACTGGTTCTCTCTCACTTTTATGGAAGTCTTCTAAAAGAAAGGATTCATTATAAGACTATTGACTATAAGGCAGAGTTTTGTAAGTAAACATTCTCCCAATTATACTTCTGCTTGCAATCCTCATGATTTGAATACTAGTGTAGGTTACTCCTCTCTTAACCTTCTTTTTCAATATTTTATTTTCTGTTACCTGAATCATTTTAATAAATAACCATTTGTTTTTATAGCATATAAATCATCTAACATTTCTGTGTGATTTTTTGGCAAAATAAGCAGCTACTTATAGTGTTATGCACGTATTGGATATTCACAATTTTGTGGTTAAAATATCTCCAATATTTCCAAGTGTTTTCATGTTTTTACTTGGCATTTTGTTGGAAAATACAGCTTTTAAAAGAAACTAGATTCTTCAGTAAGGCTTGGAGAAGAATTGCTTTTTTATAAGCATTGTTTTTCCTGACCTAGGTTATACACTTCTGCATAGTAATTTGGCCATAAAAGGAAAAACCTTTCATTTTCTTCCGAACTCAAAAAAGAATAGTTTGAAACTCTTAAACTAGTTTGAAATTATTGAACCCTTTCTCTTTAAACTTAATTAATCTCATGTACTCTCAGGGGAAATTATACTAGTCAGGATATAGAAGTCAATTTAAGGTAGAAATTGGAGACCCAAAGTCGATCTTCACTGAAGCTAGTTTGAACTATTTATTTCTGTTTGACGCAAATTGAACTTTAGTATTGTAAATGAAGACTGGTTCATAGGTAGGTTCTTTAGGAGGCAAATAACCACCAGCTTTATTAAGAAAATATGTTTGTGTATTGTAATTTTTGTCAAATTAACTGTAGAGAAAATACATGTGAGTAAACTGTTCTAACAATTGATTACTTGGATCTCAGCCATTAATTCCAAATACTGTAGTGCTATGTAAAGTTGTGATACAGCACAGCTTCAGTAATGTGCTGTGTTGGGTCAGGGGTTTTTGTAATGCTTTGTGTGTAAAAAGGGGGAAGTCCTTTATTGGAATTTTCTAGGCCTTGTGGCATTCTTACTGTGTCTGGGTTTTATTTTTTAACCATTATCATAGTTAAGAATTGTATGTTTTGGTTTAATTGTATGTTCAGTTTTGGTTTAAATATAAGTAACTGGCAGTGAAATTCATTGATGCCCAGCTTGGATAAAAATGAAGAATGTTGTTTACCCAGCTTACTACACAAGAGACCAGTAGTGATTATTTGGGAGAAGCCATTGTATAGTGTTGTTAGACTTTTTTAAGATGTAAATGTAACAAAAAGTGACAGCATTCTGGCCTTGGTTTTCATTCATTATGAAAGATTTCACCAGATCATTTATTACAGTGTAGCTTGTTAACATTTTATTCATAAATAGTTTGGTGGTCAGTCAAAGATGAAAATAAACAAGATTTGCTGCATCATTTCCCAGTTTCTATTAATAAAACAAGGCTGCCTAAGTACCCAAGTGGACCAAGAAAAGAGTTCCTAAGTTTCTGGACGTCTGAGTTAGAAAAATGAGATATTTTAGTTATTGAGCAGAGCCTTCCCTTTTAGTTACTAGCTTGTTACTATACTTGTAGGAGAAGCAATAGAATTTACTTTTCTGCCCAGGTTCTTAAAATTGAAAATCTTCAGTATAAGGAAATGAAATCAAGTATTTTAAAAGTTGAATTTTAAAATATCCAAGTTTACCCTTTTAGAGTAACCCGTGTTTTCATAGTACACATACCAAAATAGTTTATTAAAATTGAGATGTAGCCAAGAGATATACAGTATTAATAACTCATTCTCATAAGATCACTCTAAATTTAATAGCCAACATAAGGTAATTTTTTAAGACATAGGGAAAAAAATTTTTAACTGTATTAATGTCAGACTCTGAGGAAATTTTATGCGCATTGACTTTTTAAACTGAATTGAACTCCTCAGTTTAATACAATTTGTGTTTTTGTTAACTAGCAGCAGAATTTCAGCATTTGCTACTTACTGGTAGAGAAGAAAAATCCCACAGCCCTGCCAGTACAGGTTAGTTTAATCTGTAAGTACCTGATGTTCCTATTTTTTTCAAACATATCCATATAACCCACACAAGGAAGAAAGCTGTGCAGTTATTAAATGTGAATATAATAGAGATCATTGAACACTTTCACACACACAACATTTGGGCCAAAGTAGCTGTAGGTTCGCTCACCTTAGCTGTAATAAAGGTGTAATACTGCTCCTTTATTATCTGGTTATGACTGAACCTAAGTAGATAAATTGTACATAGGAGGAAGACAGTGGAAGTTTCAATTGGCTGTATGCTCATGTTGGTATAGAGAGTGTAGGTGTTTGGCTTCAGGGTCTCCTACTTAAGCCACTTCTGTGGTGGAATTCATACTTTTTTAACTTTTTAACAATATGAATCAACAGACAATAAGTCACATTTCCTCACCTCTAGCAGTGATAAGCTAGAAAATGTTTTTATCTTTTTTGTACACTATAACCTATTCTGTTGGTGCACCACCATTGTGGGTTTGTTTTATTTTGAACTAAGAGTAATTTTTTAATGACCAAATGAATGCTGACTATCAGGAAATCTAGACAGGTTTCTTTGTGCATTCCTTTTGAGGGGCAGTGAGGACATATCTGTTTGTGAAAGTTACATTAAAGTTTTTGTTAGTTTCATTAGTTCTACCAGGATTCATTGTCAACTTGAACCATCCTTCAAAGATTTCCTTTAAGCTTTAAATATTATGCTTTTGTGTTAGTAAAAATTTTAAATACTGAGGAGAGAAGAAGAAAGTGTACAATTTAGTTTATACAAGCCTGAACCATTCTCCAGTCTATGGCTTCCTCTTCACCTTAAGTGTAAAGTTATATAATAATGGGACAGTGTTCATAAAACTAGCTGATCTTTTATTCCTATTAAACGGGGATGGTGATGAGCCACTGAAAACAAGATCATCTCAATGTTAATATGGAAGTCATGTTTTCAGTTAAGTGTTTTAATGACCTTGATTTATCAACTGATAATATTTTTTATAAGATATTCACTTGGCTTTTTATATATAAAATTGCCTAAGGGCTTAAGTTTCATTGCCTTTCACAGTTTAATCTGTATAAGAAATGGTGTAGATACAGTGGAAATGGTTTTCCTTAAAACCATCTCTTTAAAGCTGCTTTGCTGGTGAGTACTTGCTATTTTATACTTCTATATATTACTATTTTTCTAAAGTTGGACACTTTGATGGCAGTGTCTTGAGTTTGTGTTCTTCAACTATTATCTGAATCAAGAGTGTTAAGGTGATTAAAGTTTCCTACAGATTTTTTTGTAGTTGACAGAAAATTTTTTTCTCAGTGCTTTTTGATTGCCATTTTGCGTAGGTATAAAATTTAAAGACCAGAATTTCTGTCCAGCGATTCCTGAACAGTTAACTGAGAGTAGAGTTAAGGAAAGTTTGCCCAAAATGGTCATGCAGACTAATCACTTACACAGAAGTCTCTGAGTGAAGCTTGAAAATTTCAAATGTACTCTTAAGTCATTCTAACCTTGCATGAAAAGCTTTGGTTGGACTACTGATTTCTGGGACTGTGTATACCAGTGGAAATTAGCCTGAGTATATTTCTAATTACTTGATCCCTGTTTGATCGTTGTAACACATGGATTTTTTTTTCCCCTTTAGCTTTTAGTCACATCCTAGCTAATGTCAGTATATGCTAAGGATGTTTTTAGATTGTTTTTCCTGCTGTGATCTTTGTAAGTCAGTAATAAAGAGGCATCTCTTGCTTTTTAGTATGAAGAGTGATAATCTTCTAAAACCTGAAAATTGATATCTGAGTATGTGATAATGGTGATGTATTGTTCTAGATAAGCACTAAACAAAGTGTGGACCCTCAATTGATGTCTTTAAGATTTAAAGTGAAGTATATTTCTAAAGAACTCTGTCCTTTCCTAGCAAGGATAAGCAGATGCTGAAAAGTCGGTAAGTATGTAACTTTAAATGCATGTAATAGTTATGTGAATAAATAGCTAAATTTCCATGGTTAAGGTAATATCTAGACATGAACAAGAATTCTTGAATATCCTTTGCGACTTAATGTGTCTAGCACTTTTACAAATTTGTGTGCACACTGATTAAATTGAAAGGTACCTTACTTCTTTGTCTCTTTTGTTTTTATTTTTATGGTGCTTTACTAATTTCATATTTCACACTTTTTTCAGAGTAGAAATAAGTGGCGGGTAAAGAATATCTTCAAGGAAGAATTATTTAAATGTCCCCATCTTAAAACCCAGTGATGACCTTCTGTTTACCTTAAGGCTTCTGTTCTTTCAGCTCCAGTTAGATCCGACAGATAATCAAAAATGGGAATGAAATCTTTGTGCTCTTTCTGGAGTATTGTGGGAATCATTGTATAATAGTAAAATGTTACTTAAGGCAACAGTGGATTTTCAGGGAAGCAGTGTTTTTTAAATTAAGAGAGAAAGGTGGTGAGATTTTGGAATCTCTCCTCCCTGGTACACCATTGCTCTTAATAAAAAGAGGGTAAATGGAGGTTCAAGGGAAAACATTGAATTGCTACAGCAGGGAAGGTGATTTACATCTGAACACTGTGTCTGCTTTCCAAAGTGATATATAGCATTTTGTGATATGGTACAAGATCTCAAAGGGGTGGGGAAAACAGGTGGGTTCCCTCCATTCTGTCTCCAGGCTTCACTCCAGCACTGTACTGGCAAGGAGGGAAGTGAAGAAGAGCAAGTCATACAAGGGATATGATGGTAAGAAGAACCTAAACAAAACAAAGGAGGATAAATGCTAGTCCATGTATATGATTAAATGGTCTAGCTAAACAACTTTTGACTGGTAGCATAATTTTTAATCTAAGTAAATGAACTTAATGATTTAAAAGTTGTGATTTAAATACTAGCTTAGAATTTTTACTGACTTTTATTTATTTATTTTTTTTCCTGACTTTTAAAACTAATCAAAAAAGGAAGATGCTAGCAATTAACACTAGGATTTGCAGGGCAGGGGGGAGGTGGGTGGGTATTTCTAAATTAAAGCTTTCTTGCATAAGTAATAGTGCGATTTGTTGCCTTGGGGTACCACTTGAAAGCTAGAGCATAAGAAAAATGAAATGGGTGACCACATTTATAGTGTTTATATTAAATTTTAGCCTACTGGTAGGGTTTGAATGGAAGAGGTGATCCCAGATATATGTGTGTGGAACCATATAATTGGAGCTCACAAAAAGCCTTGAGTTTTTGAGGGTTTTTTTCCTCCCCTCTTGAGTTTGTCTGGAAGTGTTTGCAAGGCTTTGAAAAAGCCAGAACTACCATTTGGAAAATGGTACTTTATTTTCAGATATGAAACAAGTTTTGGGTTGGATCTTCATTTAAAGGGGGAAGGATTTTTGCTTCTGCATTATTAAAAGCAAGTGTCTTTTTATTCCATGGTAATGATTGACCATTAACATTTGAGTGTCTGTTGTTTACAAATATTAATAAAATTTTTCATTTCTTGACTAATGATACTTGTCTGAGCCCTATTTATTAAGTTATATCCAGAACAGATTATACTGAGAATGAATTATACTCATCAGCTGTCCTGAACAGGTTTTGGTGTGCCTTGGGAAATGGAATCCACAGTTACTAAATATGAAATGTTTATTGGAAGAAAGTATTTAAATGGTAAATAAGTTTTAATATTGTGGGTATGGAGTAATTGGTGGTGGTTAGGTTGAACAAGTAGATGGAGCCAGAAGTAGCATAGTGGTTTAGGCTATGAGCATAAAATTAAACCTTGCAGTCCCATCCATCTCCATCATTTAGTAGTAGCTAACTTGACCTTGAGCAAGTAGCTTCTCTAAAGTGATGGTAATAATTTTCCTAGGCTTTTGAGAAAAAGTTACTGTAATAGAACTTAGCCATGTCTACCAGACCAGTGGAAATGGCAAGGTGTTAGGGTCTAGGTATAGGCAGTTATTGAAAACCTAAAACTTATGAATGCATATGAATGTCTATTATATGCTTGGATACTCTCCTGTATACAGGTAGATAGGAGATACATCCCAAAAGGGACCTTGGAGCTTAGGGTTTAGGAAGCCAGCCCTTGCAAAAAAGTTTTGGGTGAATGTTAAAGGCAGAAGGAACAATAGGTGCAGAAATAGATGGGAAAGCTTAGCCTCTTGGAGGAACAAAAAATGAAGTGCGAGTGGTGGGCTGGGACCGTGTTTGTGGAGACTGGAGAAGTAGGTAAGCCAATCACAGATCATGGTTTGAATTTTAGTCTAGTGAAAGTCATTGAAAGACTGAGCTGGTGAATAGTATATATGACTTAAAAGCCCATTCTAAGGTGTGTGAAGGTGGGGGGTGGGGTTGGCATTATAGGGACTAGTTAGAAGGCAGGAACCTACCTCTAAACAGAACTCTAAAGAAACTGAAGTTACGAATTGCTATGGCTGGATAATCCCTGAAGAAGTTAGATTATTCCGAGCCTAAGCACAGAAGAGTTAAGATTGGATAGTTAGCATGGTTTAGCCCACACCTGACCTTTCATTTAGGAAATACTGAGAATCTATAAGGCATTGAGAAAGCTTCCGTCGTCTTGGTTTTAAGGATAAATGATAACACAAGAAAGTGAAAATGCCCTCTGAGGAAATTTGAAGGATGGTAATTCCACCTGCCTTGTGTCTGGGAAAGAGGTAGCATTTGAACTAGGTCTTGAAGAATTATTAGGGTTTGGGCAAATTAAGAGTATTAGGGGAATGCCTGGAAAATATATATCAATATGGAGAGGAATGTGAGTAAGAGAATGAGATAAAGTAATTTGAGATAAACATAAAGGTTGCTGAATGCCATGTTAGGGATATGCATCCTCCTAGGAATTGAAGTGCCTTTGTTCATTACTGATGAGAGCTGTGGTTCTGTACTATCAGAAGCAACTTCTCCCAGATCACCAGACGCTGCCACCATTTTTCCATTGCTGCTATTGTCATGATGTGGAGTACTAGGGCTCGAGAACCGTAATTGGGCCAGACCACTGTTGACCGAGTTAAAAACTAGAATTCCTTGCTTTTCTCCAGGGCTAGCTTAAAATGTTTTGACAACACTCTGTCTCACACCTTTACTTGGTCATCTTCCTGTAAATACCTTGACTTTTTCTAGCAGTTTTAAGTAGCAAGGCATTGCTCTCTCACTTCAAAAGCTGTTGTGAAAGTGAAAGTCCCTCAGTCCTGTCTGACTCTGCGACCCTGTGGGTTGTATCCTACCAGGCTTCGTCCATGGGATTATCCAGGCAAGAATACTGGAGTGAGTTGCCATTTCCATTTCTCCAGGGGATCTTCCTGACCCAGGGTTCGAGCCGAGGTCTCCCACCTTGCAGGCAGACGCTTTACTCTGAGACACAGGGAAGCCATTTATGCCCATGTAAATCCTATTTCGTATAACTGAACTCTTAATCTGAACTTTTAACTTTTCTGGAAACTGGTTTTCTGTAAAGGTACAGAATTGAGTGTGCTATTCTTCCAGATTATCTGTACCTGGAATTTGAGAGGTAGAATCAGTGACTGAAAGAAACCATTATTTTACAAATACATTGGTTCCATGGCTTACTCCTGTGATTTACTGACTCCTTAAAATTCTCTTTTATTGAAGTCTGGCACACTAGTAAGTGCTCAATAGTTGGGTTGTTTGGGGGGTTTTTTAGTGTTTTTTTTGTTTGTTTTTGAAGATAGAGGTCTGTGATTTTTGTCTTTTCTGAAATTTTTGTCACCCAAGAAAGGCAGGATTACAATTTTTTTTTTACTTCGATTGAGTTGGTACAGTATTTTCTTGGTTGTCAAAATACTCATAGCTTTGGTTCTTTGAAATATCTGTATTTGTGATATGTGGAAGAGCATGATATATAACTATGATCTTAATTACATAAAAGTGGATGCTTAGCTGTGAAAAGACAAAAATGATGTCAATGTCCTTTGACAAGGACACATCAAACTTTAAAACCTTAGAAAACCAAAAAATACTCTCTTAACATTTAGGCTTTAAATTAAAAATAAAACCTTAGAAAAGACATTCTTTGAAGAATATTGGTTATACTGACATACTACTGAAGACAGTCACAATTTTGCAGGTTGGTGTCTAATAGTGTATAGTAATACTATGGATATATTATTTATGTGGATGTAACAAAACCATTTCAACCTTCACTGGGCCCATGATGCTGTGAAGAAATTCTGTGTAAGAACTTCTTTTCCACTGATTGGTTCTATATCTCTTCAAATCCTTGTCAGCTTTGCCCTGCTAGCACACAGGCACTTTTTTCGTGGTTTTGCTTCCTAATTCATGAAGAACATAAAAAGCTTTAACTTTTAGATACCATGTCAGTGAAAGTTGCTCAGTTGTGTTGGACTCTCAGACCCCATGGACTATACAGTCCATGAAGTTTTCCATGCCAGCATACTGGAGTGGGTAGCTGTTCCTTCTCCAGGGGATCTTCCCAACCCAGGGATCAAACCCAGGTGTCACACATCGCAGGGAAATTCTTTACCAGCTGAGCCATGACGGAAGCCCAAGAATACTGGAGTGGGTAACCTGTCTCTTCTCTGGCGGATATTCCTGGCCCAGGAATTGAACCGGGGTCTCCTGCATTGCAGGTGGATTCTTCACCAGCTGAGCTACCAGGGAGCCCTTTAGGTATCTATAAGTAATCTGTATTTGTACTCTTTATCGCTTTGTATTCCATATTCAATTCCTTATGGCTAACGTCATTTACTATGGAGTTCTGTGAAGTGTGTGTGATTCAGAGCAGTTCTAGGTTTGCAGTAATTGAAAGGGAGGTATAGGCATTTCTCAGAGGCCTTCTGTCCCAGTACCAACAAAGCCTCTCCTGTCGTCATCGTTCACCACAGTGGTGTATATGTGTGTGTGTGTGCCATGAATGCCGATACACTGATACATCATAACCACCCAAAGTCTGTAGGTCTGTAGTTCACCATAGGGTTCACTCTAGGTGTACTTTTTATGGGTTGGAATAAAAGTATAGTGACATATCTATCATTGTAATATACAGAATATTTTCACTGCCCTAAAAATTCTCTGCCTATTCATTTTCTCTGTGTCCACCCCTAGCAATCAGTAGTCTTTGTTTTCATACTTTTACCATTTCCAGAATGTCATACAATTGGAATGATACAGTATATAGACACTTAAGTTTGAGTAAAACGTGTGTAAGTTTCTTCCATGTCTTCGTGGGGTTTTTTTGTTTGTTTTTGTTTTTGATTTTTTTTTTTTTTAGTGCTGTGTAAAACACTCTGTTGAATGTACCACAGTATATCCATTCACTTACTTACTGAAGGACATCTTGGTTGCTTCCAGGCTTTGATAATTATGAGTAAAGCTGCTATAAGCATCCATCCATGTGTAGGATTTTGCATTGACGTTTTCAGCTCCTTTGGAATAAGTATGAAGAGATGTAATTGGTGGATTGTACGGTAAAAAGTTTTCTAGATGCATGCCAAACTTCCAGAGTGGCTGCCATTTAGCATTCTCACCAGCAGTGTATTTAGGTTCCTCTTGCTCTGCATCCTTGACATTTGGTAGTATCAGTGTTCTGGACTTTGGCTGTTAAGGTCTTTGGACCATTTTTAAATTGAGTGGCTCCCTTACCTGAGCCAAGATAGTGAAGGACAGGAGCCTGACATGCTCCTGAGGTGCCATGGGGTGGCAAAGAGTCACAGACACAACTTAGCAACTGAACAATAACAGCAGCTGCTTTTCCCGGTTCTTATTTAATGACTCTTCTTTTCCCTCAGGATAAAGCCTGAATGATGGGAGGTGGCATAAATGATAGACATCAAGAGTGATACTCGGGTTTTATTTTCATAAGCAGACCCTTGCTTATCTTCCTAGTTTCCCTTTTCCCATGGTAGTCAATTCAAACTCTAAATTCTCTCTTTCTGAACACCCTTTTCCTCTTGTCTTTGTTCATGTCCTTATTTTTACACTTAGCAAATTTTAGTTTAGAGGTTATTTCCTCTTATAAATCCCTGAGCCTTCCTGACCTTCATATATGCTTTCATTAAACCAAGTACTCAACCATTAATGTTGCCTACGTGGACGGGACTGCAACCCCCTTGAATGCAGGTATGTGACTTGTTCATTACATCCCCAAAACCTAAAATGCTGCTGCATGGTACTTAAAGAGAGGCACTAAATTGCTAATTTTAATTAGATTTGCCATTAGTGGGTTAATTTTGTCAGAACAGAAGCAGTCCAGATAGACATGTGCCTTTATCTGAGCATTGTGTAACTTTAATCTGACTCATCTGTTCCTTTGAGCAAGAATATTTTTTTTCCTTTAAAGCAGGATCTTTAGAAGGTATTTATTGATTGGCTAAAGAATGACCCTATCCAACAGTAAAGGTCTCTTGGACAAAACTGAGAAACTGTAATTTGTGTTTTTTTCAGGAAGATGGGAAAGATTTTTTTAGAAGTAACTTTTCCTGTAGGATGTCTATCAGAACATTAAAAAA